ACTTTTTTTTATTTGGTGGTGGTGGTACTGGGTTGGAGCTCAGGCCCTATTATGCTTGCTAGGCAGGTTCTCTACAACTTGAGCCACACCACCTTGTCCTTTTTTGCATTAGTTATTTTTTGGATCAGGTCTCAAGTTTTGCCTAGGGTCAGCCTCAAACCATGTCCTACTATCTAAGGCTTCCACTTAGTGGGACCACAGGCATGTGCCACCACAACCAGTTTGTTTGTTGAAATGGGTCTCCTAACTTTTTTCCCAGGCTGGCCGTCAAATCATGATCCATTTCCACCTTCTTAGCAGACCTTAAATATGTGATAGTAAGGTGTTATGAAAGAAAGGTTTTATTAGTCCTATGAATACATCTCAGTCTTTCAGTGAGCTTGAATTATTAAGATCTCCAACTTCATGTGTGCTTTCAAGGTTCTCCATTAAGTAGGATAGGTAGGTACAGTGAGTTGACTTGTGTGTACTTTCCTTTTCCCACATAGAAGGCCAAAGAATGGTTGAGTTAGGTATATAGACTTGTCCAACATTAACGCTCCAAATTTGTTTTACAATTCAGGTTTCCTTGCCCCATCCCTGGTTTCCATAAACCAGGTTTATGGGTTTCTGACTTTGACTAACTGGATTCTCTATAATACATATTAGTCTCTCCAATTTGGGGTAGGGGTTTACCCTGTGACCCTATGTTCCTGATGAATCTAAGAACTGCCAATATTTCCATTTGTTCAGCTTCTTACTCATTACTAGGACATAGAAGCAACTTCCAGATTCTCACATACTGGGCTGGAATTAAGTCACCCTCTTATTCTCTTTTACTCTTGCATTTCTCCCTTGGCATTAGTATCCACTCACATATGACTTCATATCTCTACTAATCTACTCTGTACCAGCTTTCCTCCCATTTCAAAACAAAGATATTTAATTGCTTACTGGATATTTCTCCTAGATAATTATAGGCACGTCACATTTTAAATGTCCTAAACATCAAAGTTCTGGAAGCTGAAGGTAAAAATATCCTAAACTAGTAAGTATCCTCTGCTTTAACCCTTTGATATTTTTTCCCTTTATTTCCCATCATAGTAAGAGCTTACTACTGTCCATTTACTTAGTGACCCAAACCTACAACTTTATGAGATGGCCCATCCTTCTCATTAGTGATGCCTCTAAATTTGAATATGCCTGTGATAACCATCTGTCTTCCTGCTAGGTTGAGCTATTCAAGTGTACTTTGCATAGCCGTTGCACTCTGCATAGCATCTGGAACATGGAAGGTACTCAAAAAATATGGAATGGATAAAAGAATTGATTTTTAGTCATATACACTAGCATAGCTATTCTCGTGCTGTCAGGAGAACCTGTGTGTATCCCACAACACATCACTTTGATCAGTTCAATTATAAGTTATCAAAAAAAAATCTGGGGCTAGAGGTGTAACTTAGTGATAAGAGTGCTTGGCCTACCATGTACAAGGGCATGAATTTGAATCCCATCATTCATAAAAAAAAAGAAAAGGAGAAAAGGAATGTGGCTACTGTGTGAGTATAATAGTCTAGACTTAATTTTAGTGGTAACATCAAAAGAACAAACTGTATTCATGAGTTATTTCTAATTGGTCCTTAAACTATTTCTAAAATGAAACCTCACAGTAAAAATTAACCTCAGTACATACATTGCAACCTCAAAGGAGTGCTAGTCAATATGAAATTAAGTTTCTTAAATATTATACTGGAATGTAATTCATCATTTCTTCAAAAGTCTGTTTTGCTCCTTTTTGCTTATCTTGGAGAGAACGAGGTTCATGTTTTCACAGAATATAGCATCTAAAAAAAAAAAAAAGAGTAGAAAAAAATTTCTGAAATTTTTACCTATTTATACAAAGTATTGCTTCACAGTAGAAATGCTAATAAACCAAAAAAAACAAGATTCTGTACTTTTTTTTTGACCAATTGAAGTTACTGAGAGATAACAAAACATGAAACAAAGACATGATAAAATACAAAACCTCTCAGAAGAGTTATGAGTGAAACCAAGCGGTGTTCCTGAAATAGCTGTTCTAGTTACACTGAAGATAGTAGTCAGTATACATTTCCAGAGTGTGTTTTTAAAGGATTCGAGTTCCATTAAAAGATGATGAAGCCAGTCAGGAACTTGGAAAACACCCGCCTGAGAAGAATCAATTGAAATACCTTGTTTTCAAGATAAAAAGTTCTCTGAACATTTTTCAATGTAGAAAATACAAATTAAACAATGATCAATATTTTATTTGTTAAACACTATAAAACGTTAAAATGTTCAAGATAAATTATATTAAATTCTTATAAAAGAAGTTAAAATAGGACAATATTCAAAAACATTAGTTTATAGCACAGAAGAAATAAGAAGAGATGAATAAAAAAACAAATTTTAACATAAACCACTTACATCTTACCTACATACATCAGGTAATCATAGACTCCTTCAACAGTCATCTCTCCATAAAAATAGTTCTGATTCTGCTTCTCTCTGTATTTTCAGACGATTTGCATTATTCTTAAACAGGTCATTGAAAGCTTAAATAAACAGTTGAATAATAAAGAGAGATATAGTTTATTGTACTACTGATGATAATTACTAAGCCTACAGTAATACAAAGAATTGAACCTTTTTCCAATCAAAATAAAATATAGGAATAGGTTAATATCTGCTTCCAAATTCCACATTTATGCCCAAAATTAAATTAAAAATACATATCCTTCCCAAAATTATTATATGAAAGCTTGCATCCACTTTAGAAACAATAGCTAATTCATTATCCATAAAGGATCCCTCTCCGTTTTCTTTTGATTTTTTGTTGAGCTAGGGATTGAACCCAGGGTATCACACATGCTGGGCAAGTGTGCTACCACTGAACTACAACCCAAACCCTTCCTTTTTTGTTGTTTTTTGGGGGGGAAGGTTGCAACAGAGTCTCACTATGTGACCCAAGTTTGCCTCAGACTTTTAATCCTCCTGTCACAGCCTCCTGAGTGCTGGGAATTACAGACAAGAACGACTATGTCCAGCTCCCTTTCTTTTATTTTTGATAACCAAAAGAAGCAAAAATAACTTACAATGATGTGTAACTATATTATTAATAACTAGTTTTAATACTAACATGATTTAAAGATTATAAATCACTATATAATTAAGGGGTAGAGATGAAAATCTGCTTTAAGCAAAAATTTATTTGGACAATAACATTCAAAGGTCAGAAGGAGCAATCAGTGGGGGAAAAAAACAACTATGAAGAATTACCCATGATGAAATGCAACTAACTCTCAGCCCCAGCTACCCAAGTCTCCAAAAAGAGTCAATAAACATTTGTACATCAAGTACTTTCTATGCATGTGCCTGACAGCATGCAAAGGGCAGGCAGGGAATTCAAACATAGCTCAGAAATTTAACAGCTAATAGAAGTAGGTCAAAGAAATAAATGAAATGGCATAAAATAGGCATTATGAGCAAAAGTACCAGAGACTATAAAGGAAAATGTATTTCATTTTATCTTGAAAATGAATTTTAAAAAGGTTCTTAGAAAAGTTTTATGGTAACAGAGAGCATACATTTTCTTGACTTTTTTCCCATACTAAGTTTGAATTCAGGGCTTTCCACTTGCTAAGCAAGTGCTCCACCATTGGAGCCATGCCCCCAGTCCTCCATTGGCTCTTGTGTTAGATATTCTTAACCTAAAGGCATAAGTTTAAGACATTGTCCCCCAATGCAAGAAATATGAAAAGGGCTATCTCTCCTGATACATTGCCCCCAGTCTTTAGGGGTGTGTGTGTGTGTGTGTGTGTGTGTGTGTGTTTGTTGATATTGGGTTTTTAACTCAAGGCTTCATATTTGCTAGGGCAGGCACTTTACCCCTTTAGCCATGATTTTAGCTTTAGTTATTTTTTGGATACAGTCTTGCATTTTTGCTTGGGTTGGGTTGGACTGTGATCCTCCTATTTATGCTTCCTGTGTAGCTGGAATGACAGGTGCACATCACCATGCCAACTTACTGATTGAGATGTGGTCTTGCTGGGTTTTTTTTGCCCAGGCTGGCCCTTAAACCATGACTCTTCCAATCTCCACTTCTTGAAGAGCTGGGAGTAGAGACATGGGCTACTGAGCCTGACCTCTTTCATGGGGGAATAAAACCCAATCACCTAAAGTCATAACTACTATACTTTTGCATAGTCCCTTCTACTTCTGTGTACATGGGTGTAATCAATGAAGTTTAAAAAAATAGCACTTCTCACTTTTTTTCACTTGGCAGCAAATCAAGTATCTATGTTGCTTTATTGTTTCCAGAAGTAAAATTTATCCACTGCAAAATACTCCTTGAATATTAAAACAACTAATCATTCCTATAATGTTAAGAGTTCGTGTTATTTCTAATTCTTCATTCTATAAACAAGATACTTAATAAGTATCTTCACGTTATAGCCTCTTCTACTAGAATCTACCAGCAAATTCCTAGCATTTGGGCCACAAGGTCAAAGAGCATAAACACCTGATGATTTATTGTTACACAGTGCCAAATTTCTTTCCCTAAAAGTTGGGTCCATGTACAAGCCACAAGCAAAGTAAATTTCCAGTCTGACCAAACATCCACAAACTTCTTTGTGATGTATCCCTTAGATACTAAAATTCACACTCTAGTACAATTCCTCTTTCCTTATATTATCTCTGGGTAATTTTCTGTAATCCCACCTATCAGATCTTTAATATTTCATCATTCACAAAAGTATGTATACATAGTGCAGGCCACCTAAAAAGAAGAATTTCATGAGTCTTTTACATCTTTTCAAGAAGTTAAAAAAAAAAAAAAAGAAGTGCTGGGGTAGAACTAGAGCCTTGTACATGCTAAGCAAGTACACTGAGCTATAGCCTCAACCCTTCAAGCACTTTTGAGTTTCAACATCAAGGTATATTCACTCAATTCTGAGAGAGATCCAATATTACTAAGACAGATGAATGCACTTGTATCTATTTCTGGGAAAACAGAGCTCTTACTGAGCAGATCTGAGAATCACTTGACAAGATGCTTGAAGAGAGGAAAAAAGTTAAGGTACACATCTCAATTTTTTCTCTTGATCATGTTTTACTCTACCATGACCTTTTACTGAATTTTTGTGTTCAATAAAGGTAAATGTAAAGGATACACTAAAGAAAGCAAAATATGTATTAATACAGACAAAGCACAATCTACAAACATAGATTGACATGGGCCAAAAGACTTTAGTCACTATATTCTTCAGTTTTTCTTATTCCTCCTCTCCCCTTGGTTCTGTGCAGATTAGCTATCACTGAAGAGGTAGAACTGGAGACAGAACAGAAAAAAATAGATATACCAGAAAATAGTGGAAATAAAGGAGACAGAAAATAGGGAATAAGGTTAAAAGATTCAGAGAACAGAATAAGAATCTGTGTTCCAGAGGAGATAAGAGAAGGAACAGGAGAAAGGCAATATCTGTAGAGACAATAGCTAAGCATTTTTCAAAACTGGTAAGAAAACAAAGACAGACTAGTAAAGTAACAACCAATGACCACCACTTTATAGCTACACAGTCTCTTTCCACATCAATTTTGGGCTTGGCTACAAGATTTAATAGCTCCTTAGCGTAACATGCAGTACCTTCTTGTTGTTTTCTGAAGTAGGGCTGAGAATGGTCAATTCTGGTCTACTTGGTTTAGGCTTTGGAGATTCACAAGAATTAATGAAATTCATGATGAAAGTTTCCAAATGTTGACCTTTCTGTGATAACAGACCATTATAAGAAAATTGAAAATTAAGATTATGACTTTTAGTATCATATTCATCAATATTTACATATGCTATTATTATGTTATAAATACACATAAAACAGTTATTCACCTCTTTCATTAGTTTTCCAGGAACAGACTTTATAATTTTTCCTGCAATTAAAAGTAAAGTATTAATCTTTTGAATGTATCATATGCTTTATAATTGCTTATATGAGTATTCCACTAGGTAACTTCAGATAGTAAATACCCAAGTAAATAGTAAACTGTATGAAATTATTTATAATTGACCATTTCACACTCAACAGAAACTTATAATAAATATGGTACTCTGAACTATTTATAAATACATTCTGGATTTGCTTTAAAATAATCTAATGAGGTGGGAAGTGATGGATGCTATGGAAGAAGCCTAGTTTTGATATCTGTTGGAGTAAGGAGTTCATTATACAATTTTCTCTACTTTTGTGTATATTTGAGATTTTTCATAAAAATGTTATTGAAACATTTTAAACTGGTGAATATATAGTAATACCTAAAGACATACAAAAACTAGTCAAAAGTAAAAAAAAAAATTTTAAGAAACATTTAAACTGGGCTGGTAGAGTGGCTCAAGACATACAGTGACTGCCTAGCAAGTGCAAAGCCCTGAGTTCAAAGACCAGTAGCACCAAAAAAAAAAAAAAAAAAAACCAAGATATTTGCATAGTTTGAATTCTTGAATTTTCAGATTAAGAATTTGTATTCTAGCAGGCATGGCAATGCACCTCTATAATCCCAGCACTTAGGAGGCAGGAGCATTGAGAGTCTGAGGTCAGTCTGGACTACATGATGAGACCCTATCTCAAAAAATTTCTATTCTGATCTGGACTACATGATGAGACCCTATCTCAAAAAATTTCTATTCTGATCGTATGTTTGCCCAAACTACTTCTTGATCTTATCTCCAGGTTCCCTTATCACAAAGTATTAAGCATTTTAACATTTAACTCATTGATTTAGTTCCACATACATGCTTAAGAACATACCATATAAAATGTTGAAAAACACTGCTTTTATCTCAGTAACACTGTCATTCAAACTTTTCCAGCTCATATTAGTTTGCTTTTTTAAATATAAGCTATAACTTTATGTAAAAGGAATCATGCTATATTTATTGTTTTGTGCCCTGCTTCTCTCATTCAAATTATGTTTCATTTTTTTACAGCACTGGGACTGAACCCAGGACTTCACCCATGCATGCTAGATAAGCACTTTGCCACTGAGACAACATTGTTTTTAAGACATCCACATTGTTGCAAGTAGCTTCAAGCTCCTTGTTCTAAGTATGCAGTGCTATATGTATTCAGTATTATGAATCTACCAGTTTATCTGTCCATCCTGCTGTTCACATTTCTAGTTTGGGCTATTATGAACAATGACGCTATAAGCATTCTTTTTTTTATGGTGAAATAATAGCAAAATGTCTTAGGAAAGGAATTTAATGTAACAGGATAAAAGTGGGGAGAAATGGGAAAAAAGGAAAAACATTTCCTGCTCCCCATGCAGGAAATAGAGATGTTATGAACATCTCGTAAGTATGGACACAAAACTCTCCAGAGTCTAATTCAAAGAGGAACTGCTGTGCCATTCAGTTTGTATATTCAACTAGTTTTCCAAGTAGCTTTCTAATGTATATTCCTACTAACAGTGTGTAAGAGTTCCTAGTGTGCCACATCAGCGATGATGCTTGACACTTGGTATCATCAGACTTTTTAAAACTTTGATCAATATAGTTTTATCTTTTCATGGTCCTATTATCTTTTTACATGATCTTTATGTTGTTCAGAAAGGGTTTTGCTACGCAGCACAGGCTAACCTCAAACTCGCAATTCTCCTGCCTCAGTTTGCAAATTGCCAGGATTACAGGGTGTACCACCACAATCAGCTCCAAAAGTTCTTACTTTTAATACAGTTAATATTGTTGATATTTCTTTTCTGATTAGTGCCTTAAGAAATCTTTCTGGCTGTGACTATAAACAGTTTGTATCCGGAGATTACAGGTAGTGATGACACTGGGACAATGGTCCTCTTTCCTTTTTTCTTCTTTCTTTATCCTTTTTATATTCACTTACATGTGCATACATCGTCTATGCCACCTCTTCCCACCTCAAGCCCCCCTCTCCACCCCCACTTCCAGGCAGAACCTGTTCCCCTCTTCTCCGATTTTGTTGAAGAGAAAACGTAGGAGATAATAAGAAAGACATAGAATTTTTGATAGTGTGAGATGAAGATAGCTATACAGAGAGATTCCTATGCACTTGTGTATTGCAACCCACATTGGTTCATCTCTACCAGACCTCTTCGCTACTTCCTAGTCCCCTTCGCATAGTAGCCTCTGAGAGTTTAAGATTACTTTATTCGTTCCTCCACAGTGAGCACATCAACCACATTAAAGTTCTAGGTTTCCTCCCTTTTCCTATTCCTCCCGTGTACATTCTCCCCTTAGTGTGTGACCCATATCCAATAATACTACTGCATTTGTTTTAGGTCTATAATCCGCATGTGAGGTACAACATGTGATTTTTGGCCTTCTGAGCCTGGTTAACTTTGCTTAAGATGATGTTCTCCAGTTCCATCCATTTACTTGCAAATGACAAAACTGCATTCTTCTTTGTAGCTGAGTAAAATGTCATTATGTATAAATACCACATTTTCTCAATCCATATGTCAATAGTGAGGCATCTTGGTTGTTCCCATAGCTTGGCTACTGTGAATAGTGCTGCAATAAACATGGATGTGCAGGTGGACAATGGCCCTCTTTCCTTAAGAGTATTTTTATTAAAAAAAAATACTGACAAGGCATGGTGGCACACATTATAATCCCAGCACTTGGGGGTGGGACTGACGCAGGAGGATCATGTATTGGAAGCCAGCATGGACTGCGCAGCAAGAACCTGTCTCAAAACAACAACAATGAAAATAACAACAAAACAAATCAATTTTGCCTAGCAGGTAAACAACAGAAAACATTAAAAAATCTTTCTTTACCCTAAAGTCACAGAGCTATTTATTCTTCTGTATAATCTTCCAAAATCCTTATAGGTTTCTATACATAACTCTATGTATAGAGTTTTTGTTTTTAAAAACAAAACAAAACAAAAACCCAGAGTTTAAATGTATACCCAATGTCCCAGTAGCGTTTCTTGGAAAGTCAATTCCTTTTCCATCTTGAAAAGCCATGCTCACAAGTCATGCTCACAGCTGTATAGATGTATCTTGAGATGCTGTGTTCTGTTCCATAGATCTACTGACTAATCCAGTGTTGTAAGTTAAGACATATGATAGAGTTCTCCAACCTTATTCTTCTTCATCTAAAGTATGTCAGCTATTTGGTTCTATGCATGTTCATAGGAGCTACACGTTCAGCTTGTCAAGGTGCAAACACACAGTTTATTTGATTTTGACTGATACTGAATTATATCTAGAGATCAACATATGGGTAAGTTTATATTTTTAAAATATTGTGGCTTCTAAACAATGAATATGATTTCTATTTGCACAGGTCTTTTTTGATGTCCCCCAATCAAAGTTTGTGATTTTACTCTACTAGGTTTACTCCAAGATACTGATTCTAATAGCCTTTAGAATTCCTCAATTTGCTGCCAGTGTTCTATTTCCCAAACCCAAATTTGATTGGCTGGTTTAAAACCTACCAATATCTCTTCCTCCCTGTTTAGAGGGTTAAGTCCAAATTCCTTACCATGACACCTGCGGCCATAACTTATCTTTCTAGCTTCCCTGTCTTACATGTACCCTACCTTCCAGAACCTGTACACATCTTCAGCTGAGTCTCTTTTCCATGCCTCTTGTATATACCAGTCCCTCTAACTATCTCCTCCTGGTGATTTCCACTACTTTCAAGATCTAGACAAATGATACCTAGCCAAGAAAAGCCCTCCTAAACAGAGCCACCCAATCCTTTCTTTCAGCTGGGTCTTCAAAGATGGGTAATATATAAACATATAGATATAGAAGAAGAGTTCATAAGGTGGAAGAATACCATATAAACAAAGGCATTGCAGAAAAAGAATATAAGGGGTTCAATTTTGCTAACAAGTGAAAAAAAGTAGTAAGAAACAAAACTGTAAGAGATACCTTGGTATCAAACTATATAGTGCTTTTTAGAGATCTAAAGATTAAGGAATAAATATTTCCTATGATAACAAAGAGAAATGATATGATATGATAAAAACTATACTTTAGGAAGATAACTCTGGCAGTGATATATGATAAACTGGTTGAAGGCAAGAAAAGGACAGAAATCCAGAAGGCTAGAGAAGAAACTTAGTACAATCCAAATAAGAAGCAATGAAATCTGGTATACAGAATGAGAAGGAATACAAGAGATAGATATCAAAGAAGTAAAACTGACAGAATTCTGAAACTAAATAGACACGTAGTAACACATGAGAAATCCATGGTAATGTGTTTCAAGTGTGACTGAGATGACTACAGAGTCATTAGCGTAATTACATGTTGGTTCTAAAAAGAAGTTGTGAGATGAAGTAGCAATGTCCAACTGCTTGTTAGAAAAATATAACTTAAAGGTCAGACTCCATTTGAAATATTATTTTTGCAGTGTTGGGATCAAACTGAGGACCTCACACATATTCTACCCCTGAGCTACATCCCCAGCCCTGGAACTATTTATAGATAAGAACTAAAATAATACATTCTGCTGAACCTGGTAAGAACAAACTTGAGGGCAGAGTCTTTGGAAACACCTATATTGGGGTGTACTGAGACAAAGGAGGATTGTATAAGATGGAAACAAAGGAACAGAAAGTGGAATGAGCCAGTTTGTGTGTTAATGTATGCCAAAGAAAAATTTCTAAAGAAAAGAAGACTACAGAGAGGGTCAGGAAAGATAAGTGACCTCTAGTAGCAGTGAGATCATTGCTGATAGGCAGATGGAAGGGACTGAGAAACAGATCTTAAAACCAGTGATCTGCAAAGTAGAATATGCACTCCCCAGAGTAGGGGGGTTGCTGGAAATTTTTTAGAACTACTACTTATTTAATTGTATTTTTCTTGTGATCCTGGGGATCAAACCCAGGCCTTCACACATACTGGGCAAGTGCTGCTCTATAATTGAGCTACATTCCAAGTCAAAGTTCTTTTATTTGATTTTATGTTTGCAATGTATATATATATATATATATATATATATAAGTAGTTATATAATATAACATATTTTGCATTTGGATTTCTGTTGATCTTTGGTATTTAGATAAGTTACAATAATTTATCAAAATGTATAGCTGGAATTAGATGCTCAAATATTACAACACAAAAAACATTTTCTGAAACATCTTTAGAAAATACTAACTTCAATCTCTATAATTATAGTATTATAATAAAATGCCTTCAGTATCTCAGTAGACTATGTTTTGACTGAATTTTAGAGCTCCAATAAAAAGTAATATATTAAAGGACAGCAAATACAAGTTTTCTGATAAATCTTCAATGCCCTTTAAAATAGTGCTAGTAGAAATAAAACAAACTATAAACATCAAAATGATTTTTACTGATTAAAAAGTCATCCTGAAACTAAGGGTTAAAATTTTATTCACCTAAATTTTTTTTTATTAATTGTTAATCAAAACTGTATAGAAAAAAATAAAAACAAATTGAAAACACTGAGATTCAAAGCAGAAATGTTTCCACACAGACTATCTCAAACGTACCTTACATGTCAGAGTTTTTCTAGCCAACAACTAATTAAACTTTAAATAAAATTCATGTATAGAAGTAGCATGAAGTAAAATCTGCTCAGAATGCATCAAGATAATTTCATTGAGAAAGGGATTGAATGGACCAAAGTAAAGTATACCCACAGAGGGGATACATTGAGAAACCCCTTTCAACATCAACTTAAACGATAAGAACAAAAGACAGGACAGTGTATGTGGAAGGGTACTAGTGGAAGAGGGAAGGGTAAACAAAGGATATTAAGGTGAAGGTATATGGTAGATGGACTTCATATACCTATATGAAACAGAACTAAGAAACCTCTTGCAATTGCTTTAAGTGGGGTAAGGAGGGAGTTGAGGGGGAGAAACAACCGGGGCTATGCAACTAATGTACAATATAAGCCTAATTGGAATTGTCACAATACAAACCCCCTCCCCATACAACAAACACATCCTAATAAAAATGTTTTAATAAAGATTAATTTCATTGAATTTATAGAATGTTTACTCATCTGAATTACTACTATAAGCCACCCAAAGAAAGAATAGTTATAATGCTTGAATTTGCAAAATAAGGAAAGACACCATACACCTTGAAGATCTAGGGAAAAAAACAGCTGAGAATTCAAGTCAAATGTCAAGAGATCTTATCTTTTTTGAGATATTGCATGAGAAGTTTCATACACCATAGCTATTCACATAATGCAGGATGAATACATACATTCATATATGTTGAAGGTACCATCTCCACTTTTCTTACATAGTCATGGTGCAACACTTAACAAAAGGAAAGCATGCTGGGAAATGCACTGTAAGCAATTTTGTTTCGCAAACAACACAGCGTGCACTTACCCAAACTAAGATGGCTACAAAGCCACTATGTCAAAAATCTTATAGGACCACCGTCATATATGTTCATATATGTAGTCTGTCATTGACCACTATGTGTTATACAGCACATTACTTTATTTAAATTTAGAACACAAAAGTACATTGCTACTATAACCTTTTTATGATAAAGCATTTAGCTATAAGTGGCTGCTTAATAATCAGAACTCATAAAATAGATAGCTTAAAGTCAACAACTGACAACCTATACCCAACTGCAAAAATAAAGCCTATTGCATTCATCACCTGTTCATACCATATAAACTATTTTTCTAAACAATTTGAAAACAATGATTCTTTTCTTTTCAATTTATCCTCTTGTATTTTTCTTTCAATTGACTTACCAAGATTTACATCTGGTAGTATCTTATCAAGAAACTGTGTTTCTCCACCATTAGGAGAAAGAAAGTCTGCCAGCAGTTGACTGTTACTCAGTTCTGGATGCTGCAGAAGTTTCTTAAATGGGGGTAGGGGGAAGAAAAAACAGCTTAGAAATCTAGACGGGTAATCAAAACTATATTGAAATGATTTTAAACAAAGAAAAAACAACTTTAAATCACCAAAACCTATTATATGCTGAAAAAAACTGCATTTACAGACAGAATAATACAGCAATAATAAGACCTTGACCTCTACAGTTAGACATGTATGTGTTTGAATCCTGGCTTTTCTATTTGCTAGTTAGGTGACTCTAGAAAAGTTCCTAAATTATCCAGTAGTTAGCTTCCTCATATGTAAAATGTAGATAGCAACACTATCTACTTCATAGTGTAGTTACATAAAGCATTTGAAACAAAGGAAGTAAGATAAAGCATTAGCTGATATTATTTCTAGTTTCTCAACAATAAAATGAGTATTATAGGGATGGGGATACAGCTCAGTGGTAGACCACTTGCCTAGTAAGAGTAAGGCCCTGGGTCCCATTCCTATCACTGCAAAACATAAATTAAATGAATACCACAATATCATACAATTTTCTCTATAATTAAAAGAAGTTGGGGACTGGGGGAGTGGTTTAAGTGGTAGAGACCTGAGTTCAATCCCTACTATGGAAAAAAAATGTGGAAATGTGAAAAAACTTAGAAAATCTGTTCTCTGTTCTTATATTAATTTCTAACAAGATAAACTTTTTTTTTCTTGAGGTAACGTCTCCCTATGTATCCCAGGCTGGCCTCCAACTCATGTTCCTCCTATCTTAGCCTTCCTAGTGCTGCGATTAAAGGTGTGTAATCACGATGCCCAATTTAAAGTGACTTTTAAAAGTCAAAATTAATCCAGTCTTAACTAATATTCAGCTTTGCAGCTATGAAAGAGTTACAAAACTTCATGAGCAGAAACCTATATGAACAAAATACTAGCACAGCAGCCTCTAAGTTAAGTCCTTATTACCAGAAAATATTTCCTATAGAATGAGGTACTATAGTTCTTAGAATTACTTAGTTGAAATAATGGTTAATGATATCAAGAAAGACACAGGTTCATTCAAACATGTGTATTCAAACATCCTTGTAGTAATACTATTGCATATTTTAATTTACAAACCACCAACAAATTATACAGAAAACACTTTCAGCTAAAAGCATTCAATGGTTAAGACACAGGAAATAAAATATGAGTACCCCTTTTATACTACTGGCAGTTTCCAATTTAAAAAGTACTTACTTTGGGCTGAGCGCTGGTGGCTTATACCTGTGATCCTAGCTACCTGAAAGGCTGGAATTTGACGCCAATCCTGGGAGGACTGTGATTTGAGGCTAGCCTGGGCAAATAGTTTGTAGACTCCATTTCCAAATAACCAGAGCAAAATGGACTGGAAGTGTGGCTCAACCAATAAAGTGCCTACTTTGTAAGTACAAAGTCCCGAGTTCAAACCCCAGTCCCACCGAAAGTATAAACAAAAAATACTTATTTTGAGTTAGGAGGCATCTATACTTAACTAAATATTTAATACAAATGATAAAATTCCATGCCCAAATAAAAGAGATTTTTTTTAAACCAATAAACATGTCCTCTCTTTGGTCTTCTGTACTTGACAAAGAAATATCATTAATCTAAAGAGCCAGATATCTCAAATAACTTTTAAGCTACCCGTACCATCCACTGAAATAATATAGCAATACACTGCTTATATGATGCAATGTACACACACTGAGAAAAATGGAATTCAATTCTAAGTGGAGAATGGGAAAGTTGGTGCCAGGAAATTGGAAAAAAAAATCTATAAACTGCAAAAGAGAAGGGACTAAAGAATAAAAAGGGAAGGAAGATTCCAAAGTCCAAGAAGTACTAAGCACAAATCAAACAGAAAACAGAACAAACAATAACAAAAATACCTAGTATTCTTAAAATGTATTTCATCTTTTACACCAAAAGTTTTTCTTCCATTTTTTAACCTCCCCTACCTAGTTTTAATTAGCTTAAAGCCAATTAAAGGCTGTTCCCACCCACCCACCCCATCCAGGAAAATATCTGGTATTTCAATTGGCCATCATTTTTAAAAAACAAATAATATACTCTTGATAAAAATGCATTTTAAAATTTACATGGAAAATAAAAGAATGTAAAAAATTCACATGAGCAAGTTATTTATAAACAAAGAATACATGTATAAGAGAAAACTGGAGAATACTAAGATTGTTAATGTTTTAAATTAAGTAATACAGTTGGTGCTATACCTGTAGATATTCCTGAAACTCTTCTCTCTTTGACTTTAAGAATTCATAATTTTTGGGACCAATGATCCTCTTGGAAGGAAGCTGGGCATCAGGAAATGTGCCTGAAATTTGTACATATTAAAGTTCTTTCTATGCTATGAAACTACTTTAAAAACCTAATTTAAAATTTACTAAGACAAATTCAGATTCACAATACTATCTTGTAGAGATGTAACATTATCTTTTAAATAATCTTCAAAAAATCAAAGCACTTCCCATCAGAAGACCAGACTAAAGAACTTGAATCTATTGATAACTAAAATATTACTCTCTCACCATAACCACTCTTCATTAACACAGAATTTTTAGCCCTGTGAACTAGTAAAACAGCTTCAAAAAAATTACAATTAGATTTTTTTGAAATAGGTGGGATTCTATTAAATAAAACCTCATGGGAAAAAAAGGAAGCATTTTGTCAATGTTATATAAGCTTAAAGACAAAATTTTAAAAACCATGGATGTGCTTTCTCAAAGAGGGTTGACTCTGGAAGTTTTAGTAACAAAAAGGGACAATAATGTTGGGACTCCAACCAGCTTTTGATCCAGGTGAAAAGCACAGAGACAAATTATCTTTTTCTCCGCCTTAAAAAAAAAGTCCTCAGAGAAAGACACAAGGATGGTGTTGTAACAAACTGGCAGAGAGAAAAAGAAAACCATTTGAAGACAAGTACAAACTCAAAATCCAGAAAACAAAAACTATGGCATGACTATATAGTACTTATTTTCCCACAATAATCACTTAATCACAGCTCTTGCTCATATAGTAAGGTAAAGAAGGTTCCTTACCCTTCTTAATTCAAAATCAACCTGAATTTGAATCAAGGGACACTCCACAGAGCTTTTCTAAAATAAAAAAAAAATCAGGACAAAAAAATACAACTCCCCAACTCATGTACAACATGGCTGGAAATATTCATAACTGTATCTCTGATATTAATTAAAATAAATAAATACATAATAGTGAATAGAGTTAAAAAGAAAGGGTGTTTTCCTTTTGCAGTTGATCTACTGTCAAAAGAAACACTCAACTACAAGCTTTGTTTCCAAACCTAAATACAAAAGAATCAGAACATTTCCCATGATATGTAAGCAAACATATCTACCAAGGAAGATGGTGGTGGAACAAAACAACTCTGAATTGCCTGGCTTAAATTCTCTGCCACATCATGATAAATAAGAATTAAATAGGAAAGAGGACTTTTTCTTAAAAAGAAAAAAGTTGCCCTTTATATCTTATTATTTAAAAGGTCAATGTGTGTTGCAACAACTTATAAATATAAAAATAAAAAGATAGAAACAGTGCATACCTAGTATAAAAAAGTGCATACAACTACAACTGTCTCTATTACATATCTTTGGTACAGTTATTTAAAGTAAGAAAATTAATCTGGTCCAACAGCTTTCAAGAAAACTAATGCTGAACTGTAATGTTTCATAGAAAAAGAACAACATACCATGAAATTCTGTTAGCTTTGATTCAAGTACATAGAATTCAAGATATCTTCTATACACAGACCAATGTTCAGGCTCGTGCCCAACTGTGAATTGAATGAACACTGAATAGCAAGTTGTGAGATTTATAGCCAACCACCGAAACAATTAAGTATTTAAAACATTAATGATATAAAGCACTGCTTTATAGTCTTAATAACTTATTATTTTGGGCATCACATTAACATATTTTATCCTGTATTTTAATTTAAATTACCTAGAGGAGACTGATAAATTTCATCTATTTATGAAATTACCTGAAGCAACATACTTCTTCTACAACAGAATCATAAAGCTGGCAGGATCTTTAGAAAATAATGCAATTATTACTTTTAAAATGTCACCAAAATTATGTATTTCATAAAAATTATAATTTTGAGTCTCACAAACATTTATCAAACCATCCTGATATAATAATATAGTATAGAACAGCACTATCTGATAGAGTATTCTGAATTATGTAAATGTTCTTTATATCTGTGCATTGCTTCCAAGCAGCAATATGTTGCCCTAAAGCACCTCAAATGTGGCCAGTACCTCTAAGGAAATGAAATCTTAATATAACTTAATTTTAATGGCTACATGTGGCTAGTGGCTACCAAACTGGAAAGCACAAAGCAATGGCTGAAAGAATTGGTCAGGTCAGACTGCCTATTCCAATTCCAGCCCTCCCATTTACTATGTGGCCTTGAACAAATAATCTTGCTGTACCTTACTTTGCTAGATGAAGAAAAATTGTGCCTATCACATAAAAAAATAATCTACATGATGCACTTCTGTATAGTACATAACACAGAATCAGCACCCCCAAAATGTTTACTTCTATTGCTAGGATTTCATGTCATTCTAGCATAGATTTGCGAATGCAATGGATTGAATCAGACTGAAGCAGGAAGACTGCAAGTTTGAGTCCAGCCTGGGCTAGGTGGGAATGTAAATTAGTACAACCATTAGGTAAAACAGTATGGAAGCTCCTCAAAAATACTAAAAATAGAACTGCCATATGATCCAGCAATAGCACTACTAGGGCTATTGTAAGGAATAGCCCAAAGGAATGTAAGTCAGATAACAATAAAGACACCTGCACACCCATGTTTATTGCACCATTATTCACAGTAGCTAAGCTATAGAAACAGCCCAGATGCCCTACAACTGATGAATGTATTAAGAAAATGTGGTATTTATACACAATGGAATTTTATTCAATCACAAAGAATGAAATTTTGTTGTTTGCAGGTAGACAGAATTGGAGAACCCCATCTTAAAGTGAAGTTAGCCAGGTTCAGAAAGTCAAAGGTCACATGGTTTCTCTCATATGTAATATAGGCCCAATATAAATACAAGCAACAGTATGCATACATAGGGGGAAAAAAAGAAAGGAAAAAAAAAATCAATCATAACCTATAAAGTAAATGCTCATTTTCTTCTTCAACAAGTGGTCTATGTACATTTAGTTTGGGTTTTTTAAATCCTGAAAATGCTATATTGCTACACATATAAAATCAATGTAGTAAATATATTTTTCCCCCTACAGACCATGTATGGTTTACTAAGGTCACATTATACTGACAATAGAAATCTGTAATGATGACAAAATTATCTTTAGAAAATAAAAACAAGGCTGGGTGCCAATGGTTCAGCCTATAATGCTAGTTACTCAGGAGACAGAGATCATGGTTTGAAGCCAGCTCAAAGAAACAGTTTAGGAGACTCTATCTCCAAAATACCCAACACAAAAAAGAAGGGCTAGCAGAGTGGCTCAAGCAATAGAGCACCTGCCTAACAAGTGTAAAGCCCGAGTTCAGGATCCATTACCACCAAAAAGAAAAGAAAAACAGGAATTGAAAAATGGACTGCATCAAATTAAAAGCTTCTGCAAAGCAAATGAAACAATTGCCAGAATCTAAAAACCTACAGGATGGGAGAAAAATCTTTGCTAGTTATTCATTTAATAAAGGGTTAATATATATAAAGAGCTCCAAAATGAAACACAAGAATAAATAATCCAATTAATAAATGGCAAATGAATTGAACAGACGATTTTCAAAAGAGGTACAAGAGGCTAATAAATGCATGAAGCAATGTTCAGCATCCTTAGCCATAAAGGAATGCAAATCCAAACTGCATTAACATTCCATCTCACCCCAGTCAGATTGGCAGTTATCAAGAAGACAACAAATGCTGGCAAAGATGCAAAAGAAAAAAGAAACTCTTAGACACTGTTGATGAGAATGTAAATTAGTGCAGCTACTACGGAAATCAGTATGGAGGATGCTCAAGAAACTAAAAATAGAACTACCACAATCCTTCTATACCACTCCTAGACATATATCCGAAGGAATGAAGACAACATACAGTCAAGATACCTGTACGCTCATGTTTATAGCAGCACTATTCACAATAGCTAAACTATGGAATCAGCCTAGGTGTCCATCAAACAATGAATGGATAAAGAAAATAGGGCATATATACACAATAATGTATTATTCAATCATAAAGAAGAGAGAAGTTATGTTGGAAAAGGGATGGAACTGGAGATCATCATGTTAAGCAAAATAAGCCAGACTTAGAAAGATAACTATCTCATGTTCTCTCTCATATGTGGAGTCTAATCCTTTAAAAAGAATGACAGGGATATAAAATAGGTTCCATTTGGGGGTGGGTATTAGGAGGGAGAGGGGGAAGAAGAGGATATAGAAAGGTGAACATGGTTGAAGTAGTTTATAAACATGAATGAAAATAGAACAATGAAATCTGTCAAAACTGTTTTAAGGAATGAGGGGGAGTAACGGGGGGGAATTAATTGGAGCATACTGTAAGCATGTATGGCAATACAAGCCCTTTGTACAACTAATAAATCTACTAAAAATGAAAAAAATCAGTTTTAGCAAACAAAATAAATAAAAGTGTCCTTTTATTGCCAAAAAAATGCAAGATTTTTTTCTTTTTTTGGGGGGGGTGGTGGCACTGGTGTTTGAACTCAAGGCCTCATACTTGCTAGGCAGGCACTCTCCTACTTCAGTCACATCCCCAGCCCTTTTTACTTTAGTTATTTTTCAGTTAGAGTCTCATGGGTCTTGTCTGGGCTGGCTTGGACTGTGATCCCCCTACTTAGGATCACAGGCATGTGCCACCTAAAGATATTTTAGTTTTAAAATATTGGCCTAAAGATATTTTTAATTTGAATTTTATTTATAAATTATTAAGGTAAAACTTTTTAAATAAAGCACCAAAACTAAAGATGGTTGCTCCAAAAGGCAACAACAAAGTATACTCCCAAACAAAATTAAGTTTGCAACTGAAATCAGATTGGAGTATGGACAAAGGTTTGTCCGTACAATTAAGAATGCTAAGAGAATCACCACTAGGCAAGACTGAACAGTGGCCTCAGACCTGGAGACAGCAAGCCCCTGACTGCTACTCAATTATTTTAGGAAAAATCATAGCTAGCGGCTTGTGTTTTTAAAATAGGATTAGTTTCTGAGAAATATTGGAAAACCTACTACTTTTTGCAAAATAAATAAAGGGAATGATTAGCAATGACCTTCACTACTGCTTAGTTAACTACTCTGTCACTAACTTCACAGATAGTTTCCTCTTCCTGAAACTAACAACTTAACTTTTCTGTTCATCATTCCTAAAATATGCAGGACTTTTTGCTTTTTCTTATACTGACTGCCCCATGTCTTGAATAAAACTCAGAGTAGTGACTGTTTAATCTCACTGCAAACAGTTTAATCCTTGTTTCTTGTTATAGTCCACATCTGAGAGAGCCAAAGGAAAAAAGATCACAAAACATGAAGATAATTTGTAAAGTTGTGTCTGATTATATTTTACTCAATTCTAATTAGACTGTAACCATGGGAAAGGGGAAATGCTGTCTTAATTAAATTGGATTAATACCTAGTATAGTGCTAAAAGCATTCATGATAGTTAATAAAAACACTAAAACAGTATCACAAAATGCATTGCTGGACTGTCAGGTATCTATAATGCATCACTCAATAGTGGTAGTTGAAAGACTTAGTTAACTGACCACAGAGATAACATAGGAAAGACTAAGCTTTCACTCAGCTTCCTGAGTGAATATGATCAGCAATCATATTCAACAGTTAAAAATGGAGAAACGTTTATCAGACCTGATAAAGACACAATCATAAACACTTTTAAGAAGGTACTTAATAATGTTCCTACCGGCTCGTCTATCGTTTCTTTCAACATCAATACAAAACACAGGAATTCTCTCCTTTTTCTCCTTCCTTTCAGAGGAGGGATCTTCAAAAAAGTCTACATATGGAATGCTAATTTTCCATGCAGCAAGATTTCGGGGAGTATTAGGTGTGCTCACAGCTTCTACTGGAGAATCATCTTCCATTACAACAATACCTTCTTCAATCTGGAAAAAAATCCGAATGAATGTACCTTTAGAACCACAGGATATGAGATACAACTATAAAGCAATATACCCATATCAATTTAATAATGTGTAAAACTGAGGAAATTAGGTGATAAGAATTTTCTACTGAAAAAGTAAAGATAAAAAGTTAAAACTATCAAGTTACTAGCATTAAATTCAGGTTTGGCAATATTACTTGTATATGAGCATAAAACAGAAAACAGAGAATAGACATTTTAGAGATAATGGATGAAAAACTAAATAATATGGAAATATAACAAAGTTAAACCTTGACTTAAACAAAAATCAATGTATTGATATCATTTACGATATAAATTTTAAAAATGGTAACAGCTGTTGATATAAATTTTTTAAATGGTAACAGCCAATAACGGCTAATCTGTGATACACTGTTGGGTATAAGGTATACCAGCACAACCTTTCTGGGAAGTGTTTTGGCAGTATGTTTCAATAAAGAGCCATAAAACAGTTCTGAACAAGTGGTTCCATTTCTGGGAAATTATTCTAAAGAAAATATTTACTACAAATAATTGTTTTAAAAACTATGAGAAAGCACTAAAGGAAATAAAATTGTGGAAAGAGTCTGAAAGGAACCACTTCTATAAAATTAAGGTTTTTTTCATCTTCAAGCTTCTAAAATTACAATGATATAAATGTCTAAAATAATATTTTTAAGTATCTAAAATAAAATAATGATTTTAAAATAGAAAACCACATGTTCCAGAATATACACAAAGAAAGAAGGGAAAAAAACTAATTCCTTTAAATCCCTTTGAATCTGACATATAAATCTCTGATCACACAGACATCTCAAAGTCATGTTAAAGGAAGCAAAATATTAGGAATAATCGATAAATTCACCTTTTTGTGTGTTCTGTGAGGCAGGGTAATGCTATGCAGCCAGGCTAGCCTTCTGAGTCCTGAGACACACTAATCTCAAACACAGTCCTTTTAAGGCAGTAAGTTAAAGGTTCCAGCACCTTCGTACATAGCTGTAATGCCAGCACTTAGGAAGTAGAGGTGGGAGGATCTTGAATTTGAGGCCAGCCTGCACTGCATAGCAAGACCTTATCTCAAAACAGTAATAAGAAAAGACTTACTTACAGGACGTAAGATAATTCTGATACCGTAGTCAAAGAAAACTAGTAGTGAGAAGAAATTTATTTCCAGAATTCTAGCACCCAAACTTCACTCTCTGTTCTTTCTTCCCAAACCTACTACCCACTTCTCTTATAAGAAAATTATTTTCCTCCCTCATAAAGCCCCCTTCTCTTTTCTCTTCTTTATTCTTGTCTTAAACTAGCTTTCCAAAATCCCCAATAAGACCATTACTGATCTAAATGCTCTGCTGAAAACAACTCCAAGGCTTAAAAACAGGAAATGATAAAAACATGATAGATAGAAGAGTTTTTGCCTTTTATGGGGCAAAATAATCTCTTTATAAACTGAGGTTCAAGGTAGCACTTTCAAGTTATTACAACTGTACCTTTGTTAGTTTTCATGCTTCGGAGGAGAGATCATAAAATGATAGAGAATTTGTTTAATATATGTACTGAAAGTCAAAAATGGTACATTCTTAAATGAAAAAGACACCCCTCAACATCAATCTAAAAAACAAAAGCGTAAAGCAAAATTCTTAGCAAGATATAAATATCAATGAATGACAAGTGACAGAGGTTTGAAATTTAGTTACCATTTAAATGGTGTTTATATCTAATGAATCTAATGAAAAGTCTCTGAAGCAATATTCCTCTGAATTTTTAGTGCTTCCTTTAATGTATCTAAAAACAAGTAAATATTGTAACCAAAATGGTTGGGTTTCTGTAGTTGTGGAGACAGGGTTAGTATAAGCCAGGATGACATCAAATTGCAATCCTCTACCTCTCGAGTGCTAGAATTGCAGTTGTGTGCCTCAATGCTCAGTTCAAGTTAATTAAGAGAAACCAAGTACTTTTTGTTTCTAAAACAGACCCTTCCTATGAAGAGGATGGAGAATAAGGAAGGTAGAGAATAAAAGGCTACATCACGGCCCCGTACTTTCTTGAAAAATGATAATGTTTTTCACTTTTTCATATCCTGTATGGAAATAACTCCAATGAGTTATATTACTTACAAATCAGTTCTGAACATAGAAGGAAAACTAATTTCAGATAAACTCAATCTTCTTTTTTATGTGGTTTTTGAGACAAGATCTTGCTATGTAACCCAGGCTAGCCTCAAACTTGCAATTCTCCTGCCTCAGTTTCCCACGTGCTCAAAAAGACCCAATTGTATACACTTGCCTTTGGTTTTGAAGCTAGTATACATTCATTGATTTAATCTGCAACTTGCATCCATGGAGTTATAAGAACTGATTTATTATACACTGTTCTTAACGCTTCCTATATTTAAATCTCCTAATAATACCCACATATAAGTTAGTACTACCCCCATTTCACGTGTGAGGATACAAAATCACAGTAAAATTAGGCCACTTGTCCAAGATCACATAGTAGGTAGGCATTACTGCCAAGTGATAACTTCAAGTTTTCTAAAAGATAATGTCTCCCAAATCCTAATTCCAAATTACATGCCAGGGAGACTGGCAATTTCCTTTTCCTGTCCATTTCCTAAAAAGAAAAGAGAATTTCTCAAGATCCCACAGCTTAGAATCAGTAGTATTATGGCTCAGTGGTAGAATCAGCATAGTGTCTTCGAAATTGTAAATGGCACCATCTCAGTTAGAGTCAGTATGTTCCTACATGCTTTTTAGAAGCATTTTCTTCTGAAATAGTAGTATAACTATGGTTGACAACAATTACTTCAAAATAAGTAGTAGAGAGGATTTTGAATGTTTCTAACACAAAGAAATGATAAATATCTGAGGTGACAGATACACCAATTACCCTACATATATGATTGAAATGTCACACTGTACCCCATAAATATGCATAGTTACTATGTGTCAATTAAAAATAAAAGTATAGTCAAGACAATAATAATAATGGCACAAAAGGAGGGAATGCATAATTCTGCTTGGTAACTTGGGTAAAGGTTTATGGATTACAGTAAGTTTTAAAAGATAAATACGAATTTTCCAAGTAAATAAAGAAAGGAATTTCAAGCAGCATCACATGTGTAAAGATACAGAGAAACATGGGGAGTGAAATACACGTACTTGTTAAAATGAAAATGGATTCAGTAGATCTAGAAGGGGACTCGACATTTTGTTTGTGTAACCATCTCCCAGGTAGTGCCAATGATGTTGGTTCACATCACAGCTAAAGTAATAAGAGGTTATAGCACTGATTTACAATACAAGTATCCCAAAGCATATGGAGAAGAAAGAGAGAAACTATTCTGCCTTAATAACCAATAATTTACTTCTCAGAAATTTTAAAATCGGATTAATACCATGAAACTATATAACTAATGAAAGGATGAGAAATATTAAAGAAGTCTGAGGTAAGATAAAAGAGAGAGAAAATAACAAGTTAGGCTATGTACGTTTGTAGCTACACAAACATCAAATTGAAGAACTCTTACTTACAAAGTCATCTTCACCTTCAGCCAAACCATAATTAGGCAACATAGCTCCCTCCATTGTGGTACTCTTGAATACTCCTTTAATTTTGCTACCTATTCTGCTGATTCCAAATGACTCTCCTCTTTTCTGTGTGCTTCTAAATATTAAACAAAAATGTATCAGGTACTTAGCAAATTATCACAACAATATTGTGCATTATAAACAATACTAAAGAAAATGAAACCAGGCATGGTAGCTCATGCCTATAATCCCAACTATTTGGGAGGCAGAGAAGGTTCAAGGTTCAAGGCCGGCCCAGCAAAAAATTAGAGAGATCCCATCTCAACAAACAAGCCATATGTAATGGTGCATGCCTGTACAAGGATCATGTCTCAAGGCCAGCTAGGGCAAAAACTGTGAGACCCTATCTGAAAAATAACCTAAAAAGTAAAAAGGGTGTAGCTAAAGTGGCAGAGTACCTGCCCGCAAGCTCAAGACCCTGAGTTCAAACCCAAACAATGGAAAAAACATATATAAGGAAAAAAAATAGGAGCCAGGTATAGTGGGATACATATATAATCCCAGCTACTTGGCAGACACGAGATAGAGGATCATGCCCTGAGGTCAGCCTAGACAAAAGCTCAAGACCCTATCTGAAAAACAAAGTAAAAGCAAAGGACTAGAGCATGGCTCAATAGTGGAGAGCTTGCCTAGCAAGTGTGAGGCCCTAAATTCAATCTCCTTAGTTCACAAAATAATTAAAACAAAAATAGTTTTGACACTGGTAAACTAATATAACTTTCACAGTTTTCACTAACATTTTATGAACATCTAATAAGCTAAAAATGGCAAAGCATTTAAAGTTTAAATTTATTCTATGAATAAATGAGACAAAATTTACAAATGAACATTTGAAATTCAGCTACTGCTAACCTCAAAACATTGACTGAATTTTTTTAAAGATGAGAGCCCCCTCTAGTGGTATGTCTGTTGCCACATATATTTCGAAATAACATACAAATGTGTTAAAGATCAGTGTTCAAAATAGAACTTCCATTTAGAGTAACTGTACTGCTAAAATAATGCAACAGAGAAAAATAAAACCTTGATCTTCTCAGTACTTCATTTTCAGATGAAACTTAAAATATTTTTATCCTCTACAATGACAAAGGTTCAAGCACAATTCAACTTTATAATCATATAATGTGTGTATATATATATATATAAAACATATGTATATATAATATATATATATATACTCAAAAGAAAAATGAAGTATAAGATGTATCTTATTATATTAAATTTATCTTAATGCATCAAAGCAATGAAAAGAAAAATATGAAGGGGAAGACAGCACTGACATTAAGGATAAAAATAAATGCAGTCCAAGGAAGCAGCCTTCCCTGCAATAAACGTAAGGCTGTTTTACAGTTTTTCCAAAACTGAATTTCTAAAAACAAATAGCTGAAAATAAAAAAAAAAAGGCTAAACCCAAGAAAATTTTTCCCCATTAGAGCCAAGTGCCCCATGTTTTAATAAATAAAATCATAACTTATTCATAAAACTCATTCTTACAGATACGCAAACAAAAATGGTTATTTCAAAATTTGACAAAGTTTGTTTAGAATTCTTTACTTACTGGATAGATATTATTCCTACAAGCAACATTTACCTATTGAAATGATTAGATGATTACAGAATTAAAAAAACTGATCAAATTTCAAATCTACCAGGTATATAGGAACATTTGTATTTTATACATGTCTGGGGAATAAATAAAATTTATTTTAAAACTAGAAAAATCCTAATAAGTAATAAGTAGTGAAAAGAGTGAACTAGGTTATTTTATCTAAACAAGCATGTAATTAGTGTCTTTAAACACATTGTTGGCTGGGGCCATGGCTCAAGTTGTAGAACACCTGCCTTGCAAGCACAGAGGCCAAGTTCAAACCCCAGTACTGTCAAAGAACAATCAAACAAAACACACAGAGTTTACACACAGGAGTAGACAGTTACTCCTGTTAGAAGTGTTTCCAAAAATACATAAAAAATATTGACAAAATATTATGAAAATCTCTAGAACCTTCATTGTTCTTGTCTCTAGAATCTAGAAATTATAAAACACTTAAGGCTTTCAAATCACAATGTATTTTTATGTCTCACTTGTAATTATATCCTGAATCACAGAAACATTATTTCTTAATTTTAAAAAAGCTCTTTAACACAAATAATCATAAAAATAATTCAGCAAAATCAGCCCACCCCCCAAAAAAGAGTTGACAACTCTGACAAGTGAGATGCTGGCAAAATAAATGACGAAAATATTTTAATAGTATCAAAACATGTCTATTATGACATAGCCTAGTTCAAAAAGGAAATATCTGGAATCAAAGTAGAGATTTATTTTAAAAGGTTATCCTAAAGGCAGTAACAGCACAACTGGTGCTTCATATTTTCTCCTCTTTAGTTGTACTTAGGTGTTTGTATTGTACTACTGCATTTTAACAGACAATTTATACTGTAAAGAATCACATGCTCCAGACTTACCGAAAATCATCCAAACTTAGGCTACCTCTGCAATATCAGATATGTGAAATTATAGAAGGAGAAGAAAGAGAGAAAGCCCAGACATTAAACAAGTTTCATTTTAGAATTCAAAACAAAATTTAAAAGCTTAAAAGTTACACAAGTAGATAGTATTCATCTTTGTAAAAGGAAGAAATCCTTGTGAATAACATGATAAAGGTTAGAGAAACAAAGCTCATGCCTGTTTTTTGGGCTTGTGGGTCTGAAGTCTAATCATTAAAGAAAAGTTCTTAAAAATTCAATGTCAGGAAATAACTCTGTATTTTTTTGTTCTTAGATCTAATGTTTGATACAGTAAAAAAGTATGGGGAGACTAAGCCACCAAAAACTTGGCACAAAAAACAAACCCATATTTTCCGACATGGAATTTGTGTCCATGTTATTTAGATATATAATCATACATGCTTCTTCACATATTTTTAGCTTGAGTATTTAAAAAGAAGTGTGAGGGCTAGGGATGTAGCTCAGTGGTAGAGCACTTGCTGCCCAAGCACCAAAAAAAGAAAGAAAGAAGGAAAGAAAAGAAAAAAAAGGAAAAATAAAACAATGGTATAAGCTAACATGCAAAGTTAACAAAAGGTTCCTAAACATTACAAAAGGTATACTTTGAATATACAATTAAATAGGTCAAAATTAGCAATATCCATTAAAAATTTTACCTCTAAAATACAACTAAATTTAAAAAGTATACATAAAACACATTAATAAATCTTTTATATATTTTAAGTCATTTAACAGCAAATCAGCAAAGATACTCTAAATTTTCAATAAAATGTGCTTAAAAAAACTCTTACTTAGGCTAAGTAAATAAACCATTATGTATCAGAAAGGCAGAGTCCTGACTGGTCGGGTCAATATAAAGAAAAACATGCTTTAAAAGGTCATAATCAGAATCCATATTTCCTTCCTGTCTGTGTTTCACTAAGCTCAATGAAACTATAACATTGAGACATGAACATTCTAAGTTATAAAAAAGGATAAATTTCACCTTGCTTCTCAAGTATAATGGAAATTTGATAGAAGACCTTGAAAAAAGCACTGGATAAAAACTTTGTGGACTATGCAAAGAATATTATTTTAAGTAGCATGTGTATGATTTTTGTTAAGTAAAGTGTATGTTTCATAGTTACAATGTATAAATTATTGGAAAAAGAAATTTTTACAAAGAATCATAAAAATATTTTTCACCATTCAGCATAGTTACTACATGTATACTATTTCTACCACGGCATTATGTAAGAATATTCAGCATTCCAAAAAATCTAAATCTACTCCTAAAACACTTGGTTGTGCCAAAAAAAATGCAGTATGTCCTTCCTATGACTTTCACACTTTTCCTTGTACTAACTATTGAAAAAAATGCTCCATTTTCTAACTTATCTCTGTATCACATCTTTAATTGATCTATATATTTACTGGATACCTGCTCAAACTAGAAGGTTCTGAGAACAATGTGAACACTTACACTGCAGACTTTTTTGATGTCTATTAATTTTGTGCATAACAATGTACATACATTGCAAAGACAAATCAGGACATTAGCTACCCATTTCATAAAGACATAAAATTCTTTCTTCTGTTACCTCTCTTTAGGTAATTGCACACTTCCATTTGCAGACAGCCAGAAAGGAAAAGGAGAAAACCCCTCTAAATTTGTACCCAGTAAGTACTCTAATATAATGTTTTCTCTAACACAAAACAAAACACTCTAAAATCCTGAATTATTTGTGGGTTTCACTTAAGATATATAGTCCCTACTTTCCAAAAAAAGCAGCTTATCAAACATGAACATGTATTCACAATGAGATTAACAAGGGAACTTGTCTAAAAGAATTTCAAGCATTTTCAGGTTATGATATATAAAACAGCTCAACAATCATTGGTGAAATGTCTATTCATGTAGCAATGAAACCACATATTCATTCAGAAAAAGGGCTAATAAAAACAATGATGCTATTACAGAATATTAGCATAAGCAAGTTCAAAAAATAAAACATACGTATGATTAAATATGCCTACCTGTTGAATTTTGAATTGCGTGTTGGTGATTCTGCACCTCTTAAAAGATGTCTGAAATACTTGAAAAATAATTTAAAAATTATTACTCTTTACTATACTAGTATCTGACATTAAGGCATGCTACTCTCCTTTCATACTTTCCAGTTTGAAGAAAAGGCTATTTAAGGACTTAAGGTGTAGCTCAGTGGTAAAGCATTTGTCTAGCATGCACGAGGTCCTGGGTTCCATTCCCGGCATCACAAAAACAAGAAAAGAAAAAGATGCTGTCATTCTAGCTCCACAGAAGGCTAAGATCAGGAGGATCGTGGTTCCACACCACGATCTGGGTCTGGGCAAAAACCCATCTCAACAGAAAAAAGCTGGTCATGGTGGTGTACCCCTGCAATCCTAGGAACAGTGGGAAGCATAAGATAGGAGGATAGCAGTTCAGGTTGGCCTCTGCAAAAAGCAAGACTTTATCTCTAAAATAATCACAGCAAAATGGAATGGAGGTTGTGGCTCAAGCAATAGAGCACATGCCTAGCAAGCAGAAAGCCCTAAGTTCAAATTCCAGTATCACCAAAAAGAAGGCCTGGGTACAAATTCCAGTATCACCAAAAAGAAAAAAACAAAGAAAGAAAAAGCTACTGAGATTAAGTAAATACAATCTCAGTCAAACAGGCTAAGGATTAATATATTGCAAATAGAGATACAGAGATATTTTACCACTTGATTTTTATTTCCACAGTATAAATGATGTATATATAAGAAGAATGGGCTTGGTAGAGCACCTACAATGTAAGGCTCTGAGTTCAACCCCTGAATACTGCACAGAAAAAAGAAAGAAGATGGGGTTTCTGCATCACCCCAGTAATGTAAAGTCATTCGGACATATAGCAAATCAGGTAGAACATTTTGGTAACATAAACATGAACATGGTTTTAGTACTGAAAATTATTTACAAATAACTTCTAATTTCCATTGTTATAAAGTAACTTCTTTGTTTTAGTTTTCTAATTACTTTGCTATATGAATCATTTATCTAATGATATCAGAGTCCTATTCAAATTTGTATAAAAATATTCAAACGACTTAATTTTTGACTCACCTCATCACTGTGGTAGAACATAGGGGTAAACACATTCTCCAAGAGAGAAAGAACATGCTCATAGGCTTCAAAAAGACATCTCATAGTTTGAAGTTTCACAACATCTATGTATGGGCCTTCAGCAACTATTAAAAAAATTCTACTGTAGAAATTATTTATGAATAGCATAAATACATTATCTGTTAAAATTCATTATATTAAAATAACATTCAGTCCTAAAACTGTGTTTTATAGAAACTCCACTGTAAGAAATCACACTAGAATGGAAAATTAGAACTATTTAGGCTCCAGTTCTGACAAATAGCAGTTATATGAATTGTGAACAAGTTTCTTCCTCAAAGTTTTCATCTCATTAGTAAAATGAATATGCAAATAAAGAATGTTTTAAGCTAAGAAGCAAAGTTAACAAAAGATACCTAAATATAAAAAAAAAAAAAAAATAACTTACTACTCAGGAGGCAGGGATCAGGAAGACCGCAGTTTGAAAGCAGCCCAGGCAAATAGTTCATGAGCCCCTATCTCGAGAATATCCTTCACAAAAAAGGGCTGGTAGAGTGGCTCAAGGTGTAGGCCTTGAGCTCAAGCCCCAGTACTGCAAAAATAATTGCTTAAACTGCCCATGTACTTCAAATAGCTATTGCAATATTAAACACAGATTACATGAAAAAACTTTACAAATTGTAAAAGAGCTATAGAAATCATTCTCTTCATATCCTTGACTTACTTCTTTGAATCTCTTCTACAATGAAGGGATCAAATCTAATTTTGTCAATACTTTCATCCAGACAATACGTTTTATAAATCTTCTGCAACTCTTCATGAAGAGATAGCATTTCATCATTTGATAACTCTGGTCGCAAAATTCTATCATTAAATTCCTCTAAAAAATTAAAGAAAGAATGCATAACTTTAATGCAAAAGTATTCATGAAGGTTTCATATCTATTTTAACTGTAGCCAATATTAAAAGCAGCAAATCCAATTCATCATTTTAAACTTTTGAAAAAAGATTTGAGGTAAAATGCACAGATGAAAGACAGTTAACCAGATTTTTATATATTAATATAAAACATGCAAATATATGGATAGCAATACAAATTTGCTAAAATTGATCATAGTAAACACATTTGTAAAATTTTGCTTCCCCCACAATGGTACTGGACGTTGAGCTCAGGGCCTTGTGCCTGGCAAGCACTCTACCACTTGAGTCATACCTCCAGCCCCTGTAAAATTCTTTAAATAACAAATTGCATTTGTATGTTATATGAAAATTCTTTTTAGTATTTTCAAATGTGACTTTTTAAATAACAACAGAAACAACTGTAAGTTCCAATCAATTTTTTAAACACTATTTTCCTCCATTGTGGAGGCTGCCGACAGTGGTAAAGCTGAGAGTGTGAACAAATTAATCTTCTTTCTAAAATATTGACTGCTTCTCTTTTTATTCCCAGTGGTTCTAAGGAATTTATCCCTTAATTCTTAACTACTCAAGTCGATATACAAAGGGGCAGTGGGGATGAAGTTAAAAACAAAATTGGAACAGAGAGTATTAAACCTATGGGATAACAGCTTATAACTGTCATTCTCTTATGGTTAACCTGTATATAACTGGAGTTCTAAAAGGAAAAGTCAGAAAATGAGGCAGAACATTTGAAGAGAGACTAGCCAAGAACTTTCAAAACTGATGAAGGATAACAAGCCCAAACATCCAAGAATCTTAGGAAATCCAACCTGAATATATAAAAAGAAAACTATACTTTATAGCCAAATTGCTGAAAACTAAAGAAGAATATTATAAAGAAAAAAGAAAAACAATCAGGAAGAAAAGAAACACATACACTATATATATGAGAAACGCCCTAAGATTAGAAGCTGATTTTTAATTAGGAACAATGGTTTTGTCCAGAAAACTAAGAAAAAAAATTACTTTACACTGTGAATTAAAAAAAAAAAACCTGCCAATCTCGAATTCTATATTCAGTGAAAATAAATGAGAACAGAGTAAAACATCTTTTTCAGAAAAAAACAAAGAGAATTTACCTCAGACAGATTTGTATAAGAGATGTGAAAAGAAGTTCTTTTAGAAGAAGGGAAATAATACTAGAAATCTGGTTCTTCAGAAAGAAATGACAAGCACCAAAATAAATATGTCAATAAGTCTAAGACTGAAAAAAACGATATTCATATTATAATCTCTGAGCAACCTCACAGCTGGAGTACAGGAGAGGGAGAAGAAAACAGAACAGATCTTAAAAGTCAATAGAAGAGATAAAATGGAATACCAAAAAGTACTCAAGTAACCAATAAAATAAACAGGACAAATACAAAACAAATACCAAGATAGAAGGCCTAACAATAAACATGATAATTACAATAAGAATAAATGTCTTACATGTACCAATTACAAAGCTAAGACAGACATTTTTAAAAAGGAGACACTATATGCTGCTTACAGGAATACAGTAAAATTAGAAAAAGATATGCAAATATAGCCCTAGGTACATATAGATAGATATGAAAGAAAGTATGGTTATATTACCAGACAAAGTAGACTGACTTCAAGACACAGAACTAGAGATAGAGAGAAGCATTTTACAATAATAAAATGATAAGCTGATCAAGAAAAAACAACAGAGCCAAGAGCTGGTGGCTCATGCCTATAATCCTAGCTACTTTGGAGGCAGAGATCAGGAGGATTGCAGTTTGAGGCCAGCTCAGGCAAACTGTGAGAGTCTATCTCAAAAATACCCAACAAAAAAATAGGGCTGGCAAAGGGGCTCAAGTGGTAGAGTACCTGCCTAGCAAATGTGAGGCCCTGAGTTCAAATCCCAGTGCCACCAAAAAAAAATTTAGGAAAGTTTTTAATGTGTCCAAACTTAGTAATAAAGTTCAAAATACATGAAAACAAAATTAATAAAACTAAAGAGAGATAAAGCAAACCTATTACAAAATCAGAAAGAACACAGTACATTTGAACACCATCAGTTTAACCTAACTGACAGTAGAGTACCACCCAACACAACAAAACAGATGTTCTTTTTCTAATATAGAACATTCATTAAGACAGTCTATGTGAATGAGCCATAAGACAAGTTTCAGTAAATTTCAGTAGGCTGAAATGGTCTAACCCCAATATCGAAAAGAAAAAAAGTGGTCTGATCTCTCTCTCTCTCTCTCTCTCTCTCTCTCTCTCTGTATCTCTCTCTGGTGGGACATGGGTTTTAACTCAGGGCTTCGCACTTGTGAACTCTTTGCCTGGGCTGACCTCCAACTGTGATCCTCTGGATCTCAGCCTCCCGAGTAGCTAAGATTAGATTTATCATTTTATAAATGCTCTAAGGTTTGTAAATTAAACAATGCACTTCAAACCCTTGTACTGCCAAAAAAAAAAAAAAGGAAGAGCCAAAGAATAAACCACAAGGGACGTTTTTTAATATTTCTAACTGAATGGCAATAAAAAAAATAATGTAATATAACAAGGCTGGAAACATAAATTAGTGGTAGAGCACTAGCTTAGCATGCACAGAACCCTAGATTCAATCCTCACTACCACAAACAAAACAAAGCATATCAAAATTTTTGGAATTCAATTATAACATTCCATGGAACAACATTTATAATTTTAAATGCTTACATACAAAAGAAGAAAAATGTACAGATTAATCATCTATGCTCTAACCTTCTAAACTGGAAAGTAAAAACTAGGTTAGAAGAAAATTTTAAAAATTAATGCAGAAAAATCATTAGATCAAAAACCTTAGTAATTTCATAAAGGCCTAGTGATTCATATTAAGAAAAAAGAAAGTAAAACAACCAATAAAGAGGAGACATTGCAACTGGGCACCAGTGGCTCACGCCTGTAAATCCTAGCTATTTAGGAGGCAGAGATCACGAGGATTGAGGTTTGAAGCCAGCCCAGGCAAATACTTTGTGAGACCCTATGTCGAAAAAACCCAACACAAAAAAGGGCTGGTGGAGTGGTTCAATGTGTAGGCCCTGAGTTCAAACTTCAGTACCGCAAAGAAAAAAAAAAGGAGACATCATTGCAGCTCTGTAAGGGAATATTAGGAATAAGTTGGTGACAATAAAGCAGTTTGCTGAGATACAGTAAAAGCATTCCAAAAAAAAAATATTCATTCACGATAAAATCTCCCAAAGCAGGAGAAGAAAATCTACAAAAAAGAAGAAAAAAAACAGACTAATTATTGTACTTAATGGTACAAAAATAAATAAGTTTCCTGGATATTAGTTTTTACCACTTCACTTCTACGTTGCAGACCTATACTGAAAACTAAAGGACACAGTGAAGAGAAATTAATGACTGAAATAAATGAGAAAATGTTATATTCATATGCTCATGCAGTGGAAGCCTAAATACTGCTGAAATGTTATCACTTTTTAAGTTCATGCACAGCTTCAATGCAATCCCATTAAAAGAAATCTAAACAAACTGTCTCTGTTTCTCTGTGTGCATGTGTGTAAATTGGCAATTTGATCCTAAAATGTATGTTAGAAATGCAAAGAACCTAGAATTGCCAAAACAACAGACATAGGCCAGTAGAAAAGATCAGAATTCAGAAATGAGATCCACACATATATGGTCAAATGATTTGACAAGAGTGTCAAAGTAATTTAAGATGGGAAAGAAGTGTCTCTTCAAAACCTAGGTACTGCTGGGTGCTGGTGGCTCATGCCTATAATCATAGCTAGTTGGGGCACTGGGATTGGAAGGATTGTGGTTTGAGGCCAGTCTAGGCAAACAGTTCTGGAGATCCCATCTCCAAAATAACCAGAGCAAAATGGACTGAAGGTCCAAGTGCTCTACCACTTGTAGAGCACCTGCTTTGTGAGCAAGAAGCATTAACTTCAAACCCCAGTTCCATCCCAAACAAAACAAAAACCCTAGATACTGCAAAAACTGGACATCAATATAAGGAAGGAAAAAAAATGAACCTCTACACCTACCTAATACCAACACACAAATTACTGTCAGATTATAGCTCTACATGTAAAATCTAAAACCTATATATAGTACATCTAGAGAAAACTACAGGAGAATATCCTCTCAACTTAGGGTAGGCAAAGAGTTCTATGGAATCATAGAAAGAACTAACTATAAAATTTAAAATTGGTCTATAGAATCTCATCAAAATTAATAAGTTCTGTTTATGAACCAAGAGGATATTAATCACCTGAATAGATCTATAACACAAAATGAAATTGAAGCAGCAACTAAGAGTCTCCCAAAAAAGAAAAGTCCAGGCCCTGATGGATTCACTGCTGAATTCTATCAGACATGTAAAGAAGAACTAATACCAACCCTCCTTAAACTGTTCCACAAAATAGAAAGGGAAGGAACACTGCCTAACTCATTTTATGAAGCCAGTATTACACTCATCCCAAAACCAGGCAAAGACACCTCCAAAAAGGAGAACTATAGGCCAATTTCCTTAATGAATATCGATGAAAAAATCCTTAATAAAATAATGACAAACAGAATCCAACAACACATCAGAAAGATCATACACCATGACCAAGTTGGCTTCATTCCAGGGATGCAGGGGTGGTTCAACATACTCAAATCTATAAATGTAATACAGCATATCAATAAGAGCAAAGACAAAAACCACTTGATCATCTCAATAGATGCAGAAAAAGCCTTTGACAAGATCAAACACCACTTCATGATAAAAGCTCTAAGAAAGCTAGGAATAGAAGGAATGTACCTCAACATTGTAAAGGCTATATACGACAAACCTACAGCCAACATCATACTTAATGGTGAAAAACTGAAACCATTTCCCCTAAAATCAGGAACGAGACAAGGGAAAAGTGGTTATCCATCTGCAAGAAACAGAAACTAGATCCATGTCTATCACCCTATACTAATATCAACTCAAAATGGATCAAGGACCTTAATATCAGACCCAAAACTCTGAAGTTAGTACAGGAAGGAGCAGGAAACACTCTGGAACTAATAAGTATAGGCAAGGACATCCTCAATACAACCACAGCAGCTCAGCAACTAAGAGAAAGGATGAACAAATGGGACTTCATAAAATTAAAAAACTTCTGCACAACAAAAGAAATGGTCTCCAAATTGAAGAGACCACCCACAGTGTGGAAGAAAATATTTGTCAGGTATATATCAGACAAAGGACTGATAACCAGAATTTACAGGGAACTTTAAAAATCTAAACTCTCCCAAAATCAATGAACCAATAAAGAAATGGTCAACTGAACTAAACAGAACTTTCTCAAAAGAAGAAATTCAAATGGCAAAAAAACACATGAAAAAATGCTCACCATCTCTAGCCATAAAGGAAATGCAAATCAAAACCAGACTAAAATTCCACCTCACCCCTGTTAGGATAGCCATCATCAAAAACACCAACAACAACAGGTGTTGGCGAGGATGTGGGGAAAAAGGAACCCTCATACACTGCTGGTGGGAATGCAAGCTGGTGCAACCACTCTGGAAAAAAAGTTGGAGGCTTCTTAAAAATCTAAACATAGATCTACTATATAACCCAGTAATCCCACTCCTGGGGATATACCCAAAGGAATGCAACACAGGTTACTCCAAAGGCATCTGCATACCCATGTTTATTGCAGCACTATTCACAATAGCCAAGTTATGGAAACAACCAAGATGCCCCACTACTGACAAATGGATCAAGAAAATGTGGTATTTATACACAATGGAATTTTACTTAGCTATGAAGAAGAATGAAATCTTATTATTTGCAAGTAAATGGATGGAACTGGAGAACATCATTCTGAGCGAGGTTAGCCAGGCTCAGAAGACCAAAAATCTTATGTTCTCCCTCATGTGCGGACTTTAGATCTAGGGCGAATGCAGCAATGTGGTTGGACTTGAATCACATGACAAGGGAAGAGCACACACAGGAGATACAGGAATAGGTAGAAAACCCAAAACATGAATGCATTTGATGTCCCCAGTACAGAGAAACTAATACAGAAACCTTAAAGCAACAGAGGTCAACATGAGAAGGGGATCAGGAACCAGTGTAAAGATCAGTTAGAGATGAATCAATTTGGGGTATAACACATTTGTACATGGAAGCAATGCTAGGAATCTCTCTGTATAGCTATCCTTAACTAGCAAAAATGCTGTGTCTTCCTTATTATTATGTCTTCTCTTCAACAAAATTAGAGATAAGGGCAGAACAAGGAGGAGAGGGAGGAGAGGGTGGAGGGGGGGGGAGGGGGAGAAATGACCCAAACAATGCACGCACATGTGAATAAATGAATAATTTAAAAAAAGTTCTGTTTAGTTGGGTGCTGGTTGCTCACGCCTATAATCCTAGCTAATCAGGAGACCTCAGAGATAAGGAGGATCACGATTCAAAGATAGCCTGGGGAAATAGTTTGCAAGACCCTATCTCAAAAATACTCAGCACAAAAAGGGGCCAGTGGAGTGGCTCAAGTGGTAAGAGGGCCTGCCTAGCAAGCTCAAGGCCCTTAGTTCAAAACCCCAGTGCCACTCCCCCAAAAAAAGTTCTGTTCATCAAAAGACACTTCAAAAAATGAAATGACAAGCTTTAGTCTGGAAGAAAATATTCATAAACATCCATCTGACAAAAGATTTACATCCAAAATATAGAACTCCTATAATTTAATAATAAAAAATTCAGTAATGTATAGGCAAAAGACTTGAAAATATCCAAGTAACCAATAAGAACGTTATAGTGTGCAACAAAATTAGTCATCAGAGAAATTTAAAATAAAACCTTAACAAGATGCCACCATATACTCATTAAAATGGCTAAAACTAAAAAAGCAAATAAACATTGCCAAATTTTGGTGAAGATGTGGAGCAACGAGACCCTTACACACTTCTGTGAAGTAAAATAGTACAGCCACTTTGGAAAACAATTAAACAGGTTCTTACAAAGCTAAACATATCTCTGGCCCTATGACCCAGCAATCTGACATCTAGTTACTAAATTCATACCTACAAAAAGTCTTTCACAAGAATGTTTATAGTGGCTTTATTCAAAACAGTCCCAAAGCAGAAGCAGTCTAGGTATGTATCTTCAATGAGAACTGGATAAAGAAGTAGTAGTAAGCTGGTGAGGTGGCTCAAGTGGTAAGAACACCTGTCTAGCAAGTGCAAGGCCGAGTTAAAACTCCAGTACCACTTTAGAAAAAAAAAAAGTAGTATATTCACACAAAGGACACTAGTCGGCAATAAGAAGAGCAAACTACTGATCTATATCACAAGTATGGATCTTAAAAAGCATTATCCTAGCTGGGTGCTGGTGGTACATGCCTATAATCCTAATTACTTGGGAGACAGAGATCAAGAAGATGATAGTTCAAGGCCAGCCCAAGCAAAAAGTGAGACCCTTTCTCAAAAATATTCAACACATACACAATACAAGGAAATTGTACAGGCAAAAGTAATCTGTGAACGTTTTGGTAAGAGTTGGGGTAGTGGTGGATCGTTTGGGAAGGACCTTAAGCGAACTTTCTGAGATGATAAAAATGTTCTATCTTCATCTTAATAAAGACATAGGTTACATGGATGTACACATGTGTAAAACTGATCAAACTGTACATTTAAATTCTGTCTTTCTTTCTGTACATTATACCCTGAGTTTTTAAAAGTTACCTTTAAAAAAGGAATTAGATGCATTACAAGAAAAATCTTTTCACAGTCCATAGTTTCTCATAATTCCAATAATCTATGATGTTACAAAGTTTATAATCAAAATAAAGCATTTTTATATTTGATTATTTAATCAAAATAATCGTTAACAAAATCGTGTTGATTTGAACTATGAATGGGGTCTTTAGCATATTTTCATTATACAGAATTTTCAGTATTATTTCCTACAACTAGGATCTGATTGCAATCAGTGATAGATTATGTCCCAATCTGAACAGTTGAGATAAATTCATAGTTGCTCTTAGAATGGCGGATAAATGAGGTGGGCATGGTGGTTCATGCCTGTAATTCCAGCTACATGGGAGGTATAAGTAGAAGGATCAGATTAGCTCAGGCAAAAGCTAGATCCTATCCTAAAATAAGTAAAGAAAAAAGGGCTAGGAGTGTGGCTCAAGTGGTAGAGCACCTGTCTAATAAGCATGAGGCTCTGAATTCAAATCCCAGTACCACCAAAAAAAGAACATCAACTAAATGAAACTTACTGCAATGATAGATGGTTCCCACAACATCAGATCTGTTCTACATAATCAAATACATTAAAAAGTTGTAAGAAGACCAGTAAAATATACAATTAATCCTCACCAACAGTCAGACAAAACTGCAACACATGCACGGCTCCTTCTTGTTTCAGAAAGTTCATAAAACGAAATAAAAGATCTTGCTGTTCTCTGATTTGCTTCAATTCTAACTTCAATACCTTGACATAATACAGTATATATAAGGAAGAATAAGTTAAAGCTCCATAAATGCATTCTAAAACTGTTTTTATCAAAAATAATATAGTTGCTGAAAATACTCACAGATGGTTTTTTACTTCTAGGTTCCGCAAATTTCTGCAAGAACGGAACTAAAGGGGAAGGTGGTTCTGTTGCTTTTTCAGGCTTTGAGGAAACAGAATTATTAGGTCAGTAAAACTGAGCCAAACTTCAAAGCAATCTGAAGTGTTTCTAACATGCTCAATACTCACTGGACTGTCATCTATGAAGATGATAAGCAAATGATTCACAGTATCCTATGGAAAATAATAAACACAGGTCAAAAGAATTCTATTACTGAATAATGCCCAGAATTCTCAGAACTTTGATATTAGCAAATTTTCTACAAAAAATAAAGAAACAAATGGCACAGATTATATGCTAATACATATAAGCATTTGCACATACATACTATACAGACTTTTTAAAAATCTATAATGCAATTTCTTAAAATTTGTGAACATGGGCAGAGAAAATCTATTCAGATTTTACTGTTTAAAATGTTTACAGATTATACCTGCCAACTGGATCAAAGATGGAGTACCCCAATGTCCATCAATGGATGAATAAATAAGCAAAATATGGCATATACAATACTCAGCCTTGAAAGGAGGAAAATTCCAACAGATACTACACTGTGGGGTAACCATGAGGATATTGTGTTAAATGAAATAAGCTAACCACAAAAAAGATAAATACTGTATGAGTATGAGTGCCTAGAACAGTCACAATCAGAGTCAAAAAGCAGAATGGACAGTAGCCAGGGGCTGAAGGAAGGAAAGACGAATCATTGTTTAATGTGTGCAGAGTTTCACATTTGTAAGATGAATAGTTCTAGAGATGAGTGGTAGCAATGGTTGTACAATAATATGAGTATTATTTAATGATGCTATACTGTACACATAAAAATATTTAAGATTGTAAGTCTTAAATTAAATGTATTTTACAATTACAAGAAGTGATTTTTTAAAAAAAAATCTTACTGGATCAGCTAGAAAATCCAAAGAAGGAAGGAACACAGAACCAGAGAGAATCTCTCTTATAAGTAAGGTCAGGGACCTGGAAAAAGAAATAATAGTTGTATATTTAGTAATTTAAAACAGTTCTTAATTTTCAAGCTCATAAAAACTTATCTAAAGATTTTGTCAAAATACAGATTGTAATTTAACAGCTGTGGGATGGGTCCCAAGACTATATGTCCAACAAACTCTCAGATAATGCTTATACTATAGGTTAACAGACTTGGACTTGTAGTCTTTATTTGACAAAAAGAAACTACTGTTTATGAAGGGGAAAAAAGTAATCTCTTACAGGTGGGACTTGGAAGACATTCAAAAACAGTTCCTCCCTAGAATATTTTAAATGTTTAACATATATTTAATTAATTCCTTGCATAGCATGAAGAAGGCATGGGGTTCAATCACCAGTGACACAAAAAAACAAGAATGTTTAAGACATTGTTTGTCAGGTGCCAGTGGCTCACACCTGTAATTCTAGTTACTTGGGAGGCTGAAATCAGGAGGATAATGGTTTGAGGCCCTATCTGCAAAATAACTAGAGCAAAATGGACTAGAGGTATGGTTCAAGCAGTAGAGCGCCTGCTTTGCTAGTGCAAAGACCTGAGTTCAAACTCTAGTACCACCAAAAAAGAAAAAATAGACTAGTTTGTTTAGTGGTATAATGTAATTCCCTTGTACTTATAACATTTAAGTAATATTACAAATTAGTCTCAAATAAAGATACCTCTTTTTTTTTCAGAGATGGGGTCTTACTATGTTGTCCAGGCTGGTCTCACACTTTCAATCCTCCCATCTCAGCCTTCCAAGAAACTGGGAATACAAGTGTGCATCACTGTACCCAACTAAAGATGTCCCAGTTAAAATATTAAAATAAAATACTTTTAAAAACAAAATAAAGTACATTACTAAGCCAGGAATGGTAATGCATGACTGTAATCCCAGCACTCAGGAGGCAGAAGCAGGAAGATAATGAATTTGAGGCTAGCCTGGCCTAAATATCAAGACCCTGTCTTGAAATAATTAATTAATTAATTAATTAATAAAGAACATCACTCAGTAGTGTACCTGCCTTGCAAGTGTGAAGGCCTGAGTTCAAAACCCCAGTACCACAAAATAAATAAATAAATAAAAAAGAACATCACTAACAATAAGCCATGATCTGTTCTCTAACAACTATTGAGTAACAGTAGTGAGGTAATTTATGGAAAAATCTAAACACACTTCTGCCAGAACAAAGGAGAATGGAGTCAATGACCTCTAAATTATTCTTCCCAGCTGGACATCTTGAAACCCAAAGTTATCTGCATTGTTTGTGCAAAGTGTTTCTGCCTATAGCAATCATAATGTGGATGTCTTTAAAACAAAATATCAAGGAAACAAAGTATAAGGATCTCAAACAAGAAAATTTATTTCATTCATATTATTTTTTATTTCCAAGATCAGTTTTCAAGAGAAAATTCTAAAAAATACAACATACAACAAATAGCACCTAAATTGGCATTTTTAAGACCTGAAAAATTATTTTCTTCAAATAAAAACTGTTCAGCTGAGAACATAGCTCAAGTGGTAGATCACCTGCCTATCAAGTGTGAGGCCCTCAGTTCAAGGCCCAGTATCATATACACAAAAAACCAAACCCTTTGGGTAAAGATATAGCTCAGTGGTAGGGTGCTTGCCCAGCATGTGCAAGGCCTTGGGGGTTCAATCCCTAGCACCACAAAGAAGAAAAAAGTTGAAAAACTTCACATTATAGACTAACATCAAGTTTCAGTGAACTCTTATCATGACCACAAATAGCAATATACATATGGCATATACATAGCATATGCTATACATACACAAACACTACATGATATTTTCTTGTCTATTTATACCTGCAGTCTGTTGCTTTAGGAGGCAAAATATAAGGAAAAAGTAATTCAGTCAGTTTCCTCAAATATTGTAATTCATCTCTTCGACTTCTTAAAGCCACATGAAGCTCTGGACCATATTCTTCTAAAGCTGCTTGCTGTAAAAACTCTGTATTTTTTACTGTAAGTAAAGGTAAAAAATAAATACTCACAACAAAGGAAGTGAATCTGATCAAAGTACATATACTTTAATATAAATGGAAATACCATAGTTGTACCCTTTGTACAACTAATATGCGAAAAGAATTGAATAAATATAGAAAAGAGTTAAATAATACCAAGTAACTCCAAGTCATTTCCACTAACATACAGAACAGTATCTAATCTAATTCTCCTTTCCTAGTCCCTGCTCTTTTTTTCAACATATATTATACAGGCATAATATATATATTATTATATTATTATATATTATTATAATAACATATTATTTCTGTTCAGAAACAGTATATAAAGAAAGAAATTTTTTGCTATAAATGTATTTATTTTGCAATAAATTGGTAACTGACCCTTTTCCCCTGGGCAGTAAGAATTTAAACTTATCATCTCTATTTTACAAATTATATATAACAATGTCAAATAATTTTAATAGGAAAAATCTATGCAGAATGTCTTCTAGTATACACAAGGCATTTGTTATCAAACCTTATATTTTATTCATCCTCTATAAAACAAACAAACAAAAACACCTATTCAAAATTCTTCAATTGTACCTGCTTTTACATTAACATCATCCAGATATCCTTTGAGAGCACTGTAGAAACAGGCTTCCTCTGGTAAATTTTGCATCTTTATCCAGAGCATAGGACATAAGAGGTATAATTTGAGGGCTGAGGGCACAACTCAAGTGATAACACACTTGCCTAGCAAGCCTGAGGCCCTGGGTTCAATCCCCAGTATAATAACAAAAAGAGGTATAATTAACAAAAGAAATGAGTTATCAAACCATGAAGAGATGGAGGCACTTAAAATCCTTATTGCTAAGTAAAAGAAATCAGTCTGAAACACACTGCATGATTCCAGTTTTATGGAGAAGTTAAAACTATAGAAATATTTTTTCTCTGACTGTAAAATAGCCTTTGTAAAATGGCTACAACAAAGACACTATGTCTAGTGTATTTTTGCCAGTGACAGGACAATGATTTTAAAAGCTAACTTATTTAACAAGTAAGTTAAATAAACATGATTCAAACTCTTTTACACACAAGTATTTTTTAAAACAGTTAAAGGTGAAATTATTTTTACTTGTTACGTTATCATAAGAACACAGAGTAATTTTTTTTTTTTTGTGGTGCTGAGGATTGACCCCAGGGCCTCACACATGCTAGACAAGTGCTTAACCCCATTGAGCTATACACCTAGCTCAGAATTTTTAAATATATAATTTGAAATGCTTCTCATAACTGAAGAACTGTTCACACCAAAGGGAAAATAAACCAGTAATTTGGTATTATTTAACTTCAAGTATACCTATAGTATAATTTCCCAAAATATGCTTGGATCATAGTAATTGAGATTATGAGAAAGGGAAAATGTCTCCACGATCAAGTGCATATGAGACACAATTAAAGTTGTTTCTTTGCTGTAGGACTGGGAATTTCTGGAAGGGGAAGATAATAGAAATTACCAAAAAATGTGATCATGAAACCTCTTCTACATGGTCATCTATGTAGAATGATATTCTTCAAACACATTTCAGAAAGCATTGACAAAGCACACCCACTGCCAACCCAAGGAAGACTTCAGTTTAACAGAAGCAAGTACAGAACGCAGAAGTAATGGTTAAACAGCAACATTTTAGCCTGCATTTAGAACATGAAAAGTCCTAAATGAAAACTGTATTCACTTAATCAGAAAACTTTTACAAAATGTATGCTTTGTGTAAATCATGTCAGTGAAAAGGCCTATAGATGCTATGGTGGTCACTAATTTTTTTAGAAGGGAATTAACACCTAATTGTGATACGGAGAAATTAACGTGGTAGCAATATACAAGATAGACTAGATAGAATAGGTTAAAAACATTCAAATCATCAAAGAGAAAGGGGGGAAGAGATATGAGAGATACCTTATCAATGGAAGACTAGAGTTTTGTCAGTAATACATCTAAAAGTTAACTAACCTACTCTAATTTTCAAAGCATCTTGAGTTTTCCTACTTACATGGTTAACAAACTATTGAAAGGGGTTTCATTTAAAAAAATATTTGCCTGTGAATGTATCAGTAAATGTGTCAGTCCTCAGATGCTTCAGGTAAAAGTAGGCATATAAAAAGAAAATCACTCACACTGTGGTAGAAAACTGTATTACCTTTCTGTCTGGCTTTAACTATCACCTCTATATGCTTCATTGCTGCTTTTAATAGTTTCTTGGTTATAATAGATGGAATATCCACCTAGAAAAATTCAACATGAAAATAAAACTTTGATTATCACTAAGTTGCAAAAACTATATTTAAGATACTGGAACATATCTCAAAAATTACAGGTATTAAGAAGAATATAATAGGAGGATTGTGGTCCAACCAAATAGTTCACAAGACCCTATCTCGAAAGTACCCAACACAAAACAGGGCTGGTGGAGTGGCTCAGGTGGTACGGCACCTGCCTAGCAAGTGTGAGGCCCTGAGTTCAAACCCCAGGGCTATGAATGAATAAATGAATACATACATACATACATACATACATACATAAATGAGAAAGAGAAAGAGCATGTTGGGAGTGGTGATACACACCTGTAGTCCCAGACTCAGAAGACTGAAGCAAGAGGATCTAGAGTTTGAGGCTAACCTGGGCTACATAGTAAGACTCTGTCTCAAAAAAACAAACAAACAAACAATATGTGTGTGTACACATACACACACACACACATACCATACTCCAAATACGAGGTGCTATTATTTAGAATCCACTAGGCTATCTTAAAGACTAACCGCAGAATTATTCTACTAACTAATGCCTGTTAACTAATTCATTAGAAGAGAGCAACTTGATTTATTTCAAGTTGTAATTCAAATGGCCTATCATCAACCATTTGATATTTCTTATGAAATTGTTCAACGCTCTTAGTCTATTATAAAACAACTGCCCCAGAACCTTTTTCTAAAAACATGATTGACGTTCATCAACTTTTTTCAAAAATCATAAATATATGTATGTGTTATTCATACACACCTGTAATCCCAGCACTCTGGAGGCTAGGGTAGGTGATTACAAGTTTGGGGCCAGCCTGACCTACACAGTGAGGTCCTATCTTAAAAAAAACAAAACCAAGGCTGGAAATCAGGGGCTCACGCCCTCTAATCCTAGCTACTCGGCAGGCAGAGATCAGGAGAACAGCAGGTTGAAGCCCTGGGCACACAGTTTGGGAGACCCTATCTTGAAAATACCCAACACAAAAAAGGGCTGGTGAAGTGGCTCTATTAGGGCTGGTAGAGTGCCTGCCTAGCAAGCCTGAGGCCCTGATTTCAAACCCTAGTGCCACAAAATAAAACCACCAAACAAGGCAAACATAAAAAAGTATATGAAAGCAACCAAAATTCAGCATCAGTGCATCAGCCCACCTCTATAACAGACATTAAGAGTGATAAGAATACGTTATGTCCTTAAATACATATTAACAAGCTTCACATCTTTTCCACTTGCTATTTAAGATAAATATTTTACCGTAAATAAGAATTACTCTATGAAATGATTTGTAGAATGGCTGTATAGCTAAAATTTATTATATTCACCCAACCAATAATCTACTCATTTATCATTTTTCTTTTCAGTTTTCCTTATAAATTTATAATGCCATAAATCCCTGAATATACATTTTATGTACATCTTTGGTTATGTCCTTGAAATATGCAATTAAAATGATAGAATTAAATTTAAGGATATAAATATCAGTAAGCCTTAATAAACACTGTGTCTCACACCTGTAATTCTAGCTACATAAAAGGCTGAAATTGAGAGGACCACAGTTCAAGGCCAGACCGGGGAAAGTTAGTGAGTGAGACCACATCTCAACTAATAGCTGGGCACAGGAGTATGCACCTGACATTAAAAAAAAAGGATCTGAAAACAAACAAACAAAAAAATTAAAAAGTAAAAACTAAAAACAAAAACAAAAGGATTGGAAGTGTGGCTCAAGTGGTAGAGCACCTGCCTTGCAAAACTCCAAACCCCAGTACTGCCCAAAAAAGCAAAAGATCACCAAACTCATCTGGAGTGGTAGCCCATGCCTGTATATCCCAGTAATGGAGATGCAGAAGCAGTAGGATCTTGAGTTCAAGGCCAGAATGGGCTACACAGCAAGACCCTGTCTCAGCATGTGCAAGGCCCTGGATTCAATTGCCAGCACCACAGATACACAGACACATACACACACACACACACTTGCATTCAAGTATAACGTGGATTTGCACTTGATTTGCCAATTTCCCCACAATCACCATTACTAGATATTAACATTCTTTTTTATCTTTCCCAACTTGATAGGTAAAAGAGTAGTATCTCATAGCAATACATATTTGATATGGCATGAAACATTTTCAATTATTCACTGGCCATTTTATATTTTCTTTTGTGAACTGATTGGATATACTGTTCATTTCTCAAGTAGATTTAGAAACATATAGCAAGATTAATCTTTATTAGTTAATGGCAGATACATTATATACTAATTCATTGCCAGTATGTTTAATCCTATTGAATTGACAAAGCAGTAGATAAATATGTATCTATAGCCAACAAACTATGAACATAGACACAAAAAAAACCACATAAAATGTAGCTCAAAAATACCTTTAAAAAGTATATGATAACCATAACCATTTACTCTATAAATTCATCTAGTTGAAACACTATTTTTCTATAGCTGTCTTCAGTTCTAATTTCCACAAACCAAGATAACCAAGTATTAAAGAAAGAAAAACTAATCAATGGGTCAAAAATAAGTCGCTAATTTTTTAACCTAAAAAATGAAAAGTGAGGAAAATGAATATACTTGATATAGGAGACAAATGAGGTTTAAAATAATCTTATTGGGGGTGAACATGTATACACTGTAACCATATATGGAAATGTCACAATGCAACACTCTCCAAGTACAACTAATATATGCTAAAATGTTAAATAATATCATAATAAAAAATTATAATGTCATAATGATAATGCCCAAAATCCTCAAATTTCTCATAAATAAATACCTTGTGAATTCTTCGTATTAAGACAGATGCAAAAAATCGTAATGTTATTCTCAGTTCATCAACAAAGGACTCATCATCTGTCACATCCCTTCAACAGAAGTTCAGAGAAAAATCAGCTTCACCTTCTTAAAGCTCAGCAAAGAACGAGCTTTTTCTTCTACTTACCTAGGCTACTCTTCTTTTTATTTACAAACAATGCACTTAGGTTGCAGAATAGAAGAAATGGATTAAAAAAGAAAACAAACACCTTTCATAATTCTAACACCAAAGACATAATCACCATTATTTAATTTTAGCATGTATTTCCTTGTAGACACACACATGTACATATCTTTTTTTTACAACTAAGATGATTTTCTAAGTATCATCAAAAAGAAAACAATGAATATCAGGGGAACAATAGAATACAACATTTTAAGATACTTCAAAATATTTATAAAATAATGTTACTCTAAAGGTAAAAAAGGAAAGTGTGTTTCATTTGAAAAAGAAAATGAATGGGAAACTCAAATATTTTTAAACTAAAATTTTGACAAACTTCATTTGAGCAAGTACTTTTCATTTTCCTGAAGTCTTGATGTCCCAAGAGGAATCAGGACATTTTCCTAAGCAAAGGTAAGAAAGAAAGGTGTGTATAATGGTGACATCCTGAACTTAAAGATGGTACAAGCTGTTAAGTTCCTTAGAAGAATATGAAAGATAACTGTATCAACCATGCTTCCCACTGTTAACTTGGGGAAGGGGCTATTACAGCATCAATAATTAGACTGAGGAGAAAATGTGTACTTTAACTGAAAAGTACAACCATATTTTACATCTGAATAGTCATAATTTGAAGTGAGGAGAAGAAATGGCATCTTCAGAAAATCATTCATTTTACAAAAGATTTCATTATCAGCTTTACTTAAGTGGAAAATGCACCATATTTAAGACAGAATCCAATGAAACAATTGATTTACACAGCTTTTTTAGGGAACTGTAATATATAAACTATATATTAAATTTGTCTTAACACTGTAAATGAACTCAAACAGCAGCATGTTTTTAATTAGAAATTCAAAATATACTGAATCAATATTAAATTAGGGGAGGTACATTAGACATTAACCCTACAAGCCATACAGTGGCCCAGAAGCCGAGTGCTGGTGATTCACATTGTGATCCTAAAGCTGCTTGGGAGGCTGACAGAAGGATCACAGTTCCAGGACAGTCTGGGCAAAAAGTACACAAGACCCCATCTCAACCAACAGCTGGCCATGCACAACTGTCATCCTAAGCTACACAGGAGGCTGAGAATGAAAGGATTGCAGTTCCAGGCCAGACAGAAAAAAACAAAAAAGTTTGTGAGACCCTGTATCAAAGGGGAAAAAGCTGGACATGGTGACAGGAGACTGTCATCCCAACTACAGGAATACAATCATAAAATAGGAGGGTTACGATTCAGATCAGCCTGGGCAAAACCTGAGATTCTATTTCCAAAATTAATCAGAGCAAAAAGTGCAAGAGGCCTGGCTCAAGCAGTAGAGTGCTGCACCCTAAGTTCAAACTCCAGTACTGTCAAAAAAACCCACATATTTGCTTAAAGAAACATGTTACTAACATAATGTAAGTTGAACCTCTCTGATTCTCAAAGTAGGTATGTGGCTTTTTTTTCAGATCTAGAGTATTTTTTCTGTTCTGAAAGGCGCAAGGCTCTCACTCCCTACATACACTAAAACCAAAGTTACCTAGAAAAAAAATATTAATTTTCCAAAGAATCTATTGAAATTATCTTTCAATTTAATAAAACATCTAATTATAGATTTCCCTCCAAAGATAAAATCATTGCAAAAAGAAAAAAAAAACAACTCTTTTTTTTTCCTTTCCTTTGAAACAGTCTCCCTACATGGGCTGGCCTGGTCTTGAGCTCTCAGTCCTTCTGGCTCAGCATCACAAGTGCTGGGATTACTGGCTCATCAGTGATTCCTAACTGGGGCTGATTAGGCCTTCCAGTTAATATTTGATAATCATCTAATGGAAAGAGGCCAGGACTGCTACTAAATATCTTATAATGTACAACACAACCCTCCCCAACAAAGAGTTGTCTAAATTGTCATCATTTGAAACACCCTAGCTCTCGCTGAAAACACATTATTAGTATGTTTAACTTAATGATAATCACTATGTTAAAGAAAAAAGGCCTTGTAGAAAGGACATACCTGTACCACGGATAAACAAAGTTTTCCAACACTAATTCAAGAACCTGCATAAAAAATCATTTTAAAAGAAAAATAAAATTGATTAATTCTAGTGAAATGAGCTGGTTGACTTAGTAACATATTACCAAAAACAATTTTATTATTCTACATATTGACAGTAATATCACACTTTCGTGACAAAATATTGTATTTCAACCTTACATGGTTGTGAGGATCAGAAGAGAACATTTGAAAAAATACTTGTAAAATCATGAAGCTCCAAGAAAAAAAAATGGCTATTAGAATCACACACACTTATTTCTAAATATTTCCATAAACAACAAAACATTTAAATAAATTGCTTCTGACTGTGAGTTTCACTGAACCAAAAGAAATTCTATGGAAAGAAAGAAAATAGGTTAGTTTTTTGCATTCCTGACTTTTTCTGTGTCAGTGTTCTTGGGATAAAATGTAGAAACAAATAGCTAAGAGTTATATAAGGGATCAAAATTAGAGGAGTTAGTAATTAGCTTTGAAGGAAGGACAGTGCCTGGAAGAGAGTGAAGGGGAGTTTTGGGGTGCTTGTAATGTTTTATTTCTTGATCTGGAGGCTAATTCACATGGACATGCTTACTTTGTGAAAATTTTAGCTGCACTGTTAAAATCAGTATATAAGTTAAATGTGAAACAAAACAAACCCTAGGAGTTAAACCTTTCATTCCTTAGGTGTAAGTGTTAATAGCATGTTTTAACTTTTTTCCTTTTTTGGAGGTACTAGGGATTAAACTCAGGGCCTTGATACCACCTAAGCCACATCACCTGCCTCCTGCTTTTAGTTTGTTTTTCAGATAGGGTCTTCAGCTTTTGCCCAGGCCAGCCTACTACCATGATTCTCCTACCTCTGCCTACCACATAGCTGGGATGACAGATGTATACCACCACACCCAGCTTGTTTTTGAGATAAGGTCTCAAAAACTTTTTGTACATGCTGACATCAAACAACATTCCTCCTACTTCTGCTTCCCAAGTAGCTAGGATTATAGGCTTGCACCACCATGCCTGGTCCTGTATGTTGTACCTTTTATAAGAAGCATTATGCAATAATTTTTTTAAAACAATGGGGGGGGGTGGGAAATAAATGAAATGTATTACCAGTATGATTCCCAAATTAGACCATATGCCTTTTCTGACAGCAGCAAGAAAAGTTGTAGATTCCCTAATTTAAATATTAAGGTAAAAATAATTTGTATTGATTTACTACAAAAATTAAGCATTATTTAAATTTGCTGGGAAAAGAAGATATGTACAGACAGAGATCAGATATAGAGAGGAAACTAGAAAAAGTTATCTTTAAACATTTGGTCTTCCTTTATCTCTATATCTAATCAATCACCAAATCCTACTAATTTACATCCTAAGTAACTCTTTTCTAGCACCACTGTTTGTCCTCATCTTCTCACCCTTTATATTGCAACACCAGCTTCTGAATTAATCTCTCCATTTCCAAGTGTGCTCTCCCCCAAAATGTGCCATGCAGGTGCCAAAGTGATCTAAAATATGTACTTGAGCACATCAGCCTCTTGCACAAAACCCTCAGTACATCGAACCACAATACATGAAAGAAAACTGGTGATGCACTGATTTAAGGCAAGAGTTCTGCATCTGTGACCACTTACTTCCTTTCTACCTCCCAATGCATCCTCTGAGTCACATCTGAAGCTTTTATTACACAGTTTGAGAATCTTGAAAATCACTAACTTCCAGGCTCAATTAATCTAAACTCTATCACCACAACCCTTAAGGTCTTTTGATTTCTAAAAAGCTATATAAAATACTGGTTAAGCTAGTGGAGTGGCTCAGGTAGAGCGCTTGCCTAGCAAGCACAAGACCCTGAATTCAAACCCTAGTGTTGCCAAAAAAATTAAAATACTGATTAAGAACTAAACCAGACCTGAGTTTTTGAATGAGTTCTGCTATCAATTCAATATGAAGCATGAAAAATTTTTTGTAATGTGAACATTATATTAAATATAGAAATATGTAAATTTCTAGGAAAGGAACAGTGTTAGCAATTTTTAGCTAAGGAAAATATTTTTATAATGACTGTTCAATATTGGCAATATACCATAGAAAGTTATCTTGGTATTCATATGAAAATTATATATATTTGCTAAATAAAATAGGATCCAATTGTTTTATTTTTATTATTTTTATTATTGTTGTACTAGGGGTACATTATGACACTTACTAAAGTTCTTACAATATAATGTAGTTTAATTCACCCCCTCCATCATTCTCCTTTATCCCTCCTACCCCCATTCCTGGAATAGTTTCAACAGGTATCATTTTTCCATTTATATACATGTGTACACAATATGTGCAACATATTCACCCTCCTACACCCTCTCCCCACATCCTCCCCGCTCCCACTGATACCAACCCCCCAGACAGGACCTATTCTGCCCTCCTGTTCTCCGAAACTTGAAAAAATTATTGAAGCTCTCTAAATTCCAGTTTACCTTTGGTAATATTGTCAATAATAGCACCCATTCCATAGGCTGGGTATAGATTACATGAAATAATGCATATATGCTTAGCACAGAGCTTAATATATGATAAGCAATTAATAAATGATCACTACAAAAATATTATTTCTTCATTGCACAAATCCCTCACATTTTACCTTACTAAATACACCACCTATTTTAAGCCTCTTTCCTCTCAAGAACTCTCTATATGAAATACCCTTTCCTATACTACCAGTTTGGCGAACTTTTGATCATCCTTTTCCCTGCCCTTCTCAACAGCTGTGCACTTCCTCCTCTATCCTAATTCTATCCTTCCATTATTGCCTGCATTGCATTATACTATGTCTACCTCTAATGCTAAGCTGAAGTTTGAGAAGAGAGAGATCAGTTATATTTTATTTCTTTTTTACATGTGGGGCCTACCCAGTTCCTGCCTGTAGCAAAATCTCAAAAAGTTTTTATAAATATGGAAACTAATAGTTACTGGACACCAATATGTGCCAGGTGCAGGGTCAAGAGCTTTACACAGAAGTTCTGTCATTTTTTTGAAGTAACCAATGAAATGTCAGAGACACAGAAAGCACTCTTGCTAGAGATTTTTCTTTTTTTCAACTCTCGCATTTTAATAACATAATGAGAGCCAGGCACCAGTGGCTCACACCCATAATCCTAGCTACTCAGGAGTCAGAGATCATGAGGGTCGTAGTTTGAAGCTAGCCTGGGCAAACTGTTTGTGAGACGCTATCTTCAAAAATACCCAACACAAAAAAGGGCCGGTGGAATGGCTCAAGTGGTAGGGCTTCTGCCTTGTAAGCATGAGGACCTGAGTTCAATACTGCCAAAAAAAAAAAAAATGTGAGTTACATATTTTATAATATTTTATTTAACCCAATATATCCAAACTATTATTATTTCAACACATAACCTATGTTAAAAAATATTTCACATTCCTTTTTTCTTGCTAGTTCTTCAAAATCCAGTATATATACTGTATATATATATATGTGCTATATATATATATATATATATAAAACACATTCCAATTTTGACTAGCACAATCCAAGTGTTTATTAATAACTACATGTGGTAGGCTGGCAGAGTGGCTCAAATGGTAGAGTGCCTGCCAAGCAAACATGAGGCCCAGAGTTCAAACTCCGGTACAACAACAACAAACAACAACAAAATCCCACATGTGGCTAGTGGCTACCATACTGGACAGCACAGTCTTTATGTTTCTTAATTTTAATATCTTGGGGGGGTAGTTATGGATCAAGTCTAGGGCCATGTACATGGTAGGCAAGCACTGCACCACTGAGTTACATCTCTAGGTGCTGAATAACACTGTCTTACAGCAAATCTTGGATATTAAAAAGGCCTTAGGGAAGTAATGAAAAGGAAAAATGCCAAGCATGTCATATCAATGGCACTTTATGCAGCTTACCTTTAATCAAAGGAGGGGATGAAATGGGATAATGGACAATCAGGCAGGGTTTAGGTGCTTACTGCTATTCTTCAGCTACAAAGCACTCAATTTCAATCAATACATAACCTATCATCTACCAACAATATATGTGATCCCAAACTTGTTGCTGTGAACAAGTGAGACCACCCAACTTCCACCTTTAAAAACTTCACTGCTTTTTCAGATGCATGGAAAAGACAAGTCTCTAAAATAAGTAACTAAAACATACATGCTACCAAAAGAAACATAAAATGTAACTAGAACAAAGATAAGAAAACATGCTTTCTGGGAGAAATTATCCCATTCCCTGTTCTATCCTTACATTAGTATCAAAACAGGTATCATAATTCAGTAAGATCTGCATTTGTTCTCTGCAGTTCAATGCTCCTTCGGGAATTACAAAATGGCCATTTCTACTCCCCTATCATAAAGGTGCTTGTTTTTATAGGTGAACAATAGCCAGTTAAAGCAATGCTTTCCTTAGCAAATCTTGGATCTAAGTGCAATTGGGAATTCTTTACTACTCAATTTGCTTATTTTGTAATAATCAACAACCTAGCCCAGACCTCACTGGTTGACACAGATTGAGATGTGTGTTTTTTTCTGGGTTTTTCTGGGCTCTCACTTGGTAGCCCAGCTGGTCTGGAACTCAGGATCCTCCCACTTTAGCCTCCTGAGTCCTGGATTACACATGTGTGCCACCATGCCTACCTTATTGAGATGTCTATGAATTAATTTTTTTTTTTGAAGTACTGGGGTTTGACCTCAGGGCCTTGTGCTTGCTTGAACCCTGTCTCCAAACCTCTTTGCTCTGGTTATTTTGGAGATAATAGGGTCTCACTTTTTTGCCCACGCTGACTGGAATAAAGCTAGAATGATAGGAACGTTCTACCATGCCCAGCTCTTTTCCTGTTTAGATGAGGTCTCATAAACTTTTTTGCCCAGGCTGGCCTCAAACCACAATCCTCCCTATGTCAGGTTCTCTAATTAGGATTACAGGTGTGAAACACCAGCACGTGGCTAGGATTAAATTTTTTGATAAAAATTTTTTTCATAGGTATTTAACATTTTAACATTCTCTGTTTGTGTATACAGACATGCACCAAATAATATCTGGTCAACAATGAACCACAAATATAATGGTGGTCCCATTAAGATTATTATGGACCTATTTACCTTACCTGTAAGGTCATAGCTACTGTAGCACAATGCTTTATTCACATATTTAGAGTGATGTTGGTGTAAACAAGCTTATTGCACTGCCAGTTGTACAAAGTACAGCACATACAATATAATTATGTATAGTATATAATACTTGGCAATAAAGGACTATTTTACTGGCTTATGTACTTGTTATACTATAAAAACATCTTAGTATGCTATATAGCATATATTTATATGCTTTATACATTTATAATATACTTTTTTTTGGCGAGTACTGGTGGCTCACTCCTATAATCCTAGCTACTTGAGAGGCTGAAATCAGAAGGATCACAGTTTGAGCCAGCCTAGACAAATAGTTTCCAAGACCCCATCACCAAAATAATCAGAGCAAAATGGACCAGAGATGTGGCTCAAGCGGTAAAGGACCTGCTTTGCAAGTGTAAAGTACTGAGCTCAAACTCCAGCCCCACATTAAAAAAAAAAAAAAAAAAGAACCATATATATATATATACACACACACATATATACATATATATGTATATACTATTTATAGTACATATATACATATACACATACACATATATGTATATATACTATATATATAGTATATATATAATGTATATGTGTACTTTTTATTTTAGAATTTTAGAATGTACTCCCCTTCTACTTATTAAAAATTTTTTTTAAATTTTAGTTGTATAAAACAGTATGCCATGTCACACCAGCAGCAGCCTCATACAGCTCATACTTACCATGTCCCTGGATTACATCAATAGGGCAATGACTGAACAGTACCATCTAGGTTTGTGTTAAGTACATTCTGTGACATTCTTACATTTCTGAGAAATGCCTAACAATGCATTTCTCAGAAAATGCCCCCGTCATTAAGTAACACATGGCTATATTTGACAATATTAGTTAAATCACTTACCTCTGAGAGAGATGCATCAACCTTGGAAGAAATTTTCAGGTCTAGCCATGGCTGGTAGTTTTCAAGTAGCAAAGAAGGCCTAAAGAAAGTCATACAATTAAATCACTTGTAACCTAAAATGTAATTAGAAAGACCAACAAATAAAAAGTGTTTAACTTACCTATGTCGCTTACATTTCACTTTATCACAAACAGCACAGCTATGACCTTGAGGAAATAATTCTTGAAGTCCTAATTGCTAAAAAGAAAGAAAGAAAGAAAAGGAAAGGAAAAGTGGAGAGGAAGATCTGTCTTTACATATGATTTTTACTACAAAGAATCAAGTTTTCTAAAGTTTTTTCAGTCAATGTATGAATTCGGAGGACTTCTTTTTTGTTTGGTGGTACTGGGGTTTGAACTCAGACTCTCATGCTTGCTAAGCCACTTCAGCCACTGCACCAGCCCTTTTTGGTGATGGGTATTTTTGAAATAAGAGTCTTGTGAACTATTTGCCTGGACTGGCTTCAAACTGAGTTCCTCCTGAGTAGCCTCCTAAGTAGCTAGGATTACAGACATGAGTTATCAGTGCCTGATATCAGAGGACTTTTTCTGTGTTCATTAAGAGTGGAAACCATTATTTGTAATAAATAACACTTGGTAAACTAAACTGCCAACAGAAGCAAAATACCTGATACAATGCTTCAAAATTCTAAGATTAAGGGCTCACAAAGTGGCTCAAGTAGTAGAGTGCCTGCCTAGCAAGACTTGAGGACCGGAGTTCAAACCCAGACACCGCCAGAAAGAAATGTATGTGTGTGTAAATTTCTAAGGCAAATTTCTAAGCTTAGACTTAAGGTCAAGCTTATGTTAAGTGATGTTATGAACACTTATAAAAAATTTGATCTGTACTTAAATGGACTACTCCATTGCGAAAGTATAAGAAAAACTATTTTCTATTTTTCCAAACTCTTGACTTTAATGAGGAAGAATATAATGTGATCATTAGTGAGGCTCTGTGCTTCCTCTGAGTTGAAATACCATCAAATCTGAAACAAGGGATTATATTAATATAAGCAACTGTAGAGTAAGACTTTAAGATATCTCACCCAGAGATATGAGGACATAGTTTAATAGCAGAGAGCTTGCCTAGCATGCCAAAAAAAAAAAATCATATTCATTCCATCAAATCCTTACCTATGATCAGAATCTTGCTTTAGGAGGATAAATATACAACAACCTTGTTTGGTTGGTTGGCTGGTGAGACTGGGGTTTGAACTCAGTGCTTCGCACTTACAAAGCAGGTCCTCTACCACTTAAGACACACCTCCAGTCCATTCATATTTTGGAAATGGGCTCTTGGGAACTATTTGCCTACAATAACTTTATTATAAACTTCAGAAATACAAATTACTTTGGTTAAGCAAACTGCCTAATCATTTCTGTTTCTATAGTGCATACAGACATTTAAAAAAAATTTGGTGGTACTGGCATTTGAACTCAAAGCCTCAGTCCTTTTGCTTTAGTTATTTTTTAAATAGGGTCTCCGTGTTTTTGATTAGGCTCACCTGGAGTGTGATCCTCCTATTTATGCTTCCCATATAGCTGGGATGACAGGTGCACACCACTACACCCAGTTTTTTATTGGTTGAAAAAGAGGTCTTATATTTGCTTGGACAGGCCTCGAATCATGATTATTCCAATCTCTGCCTCCTAAGTAGTTAGCATTGCAGGTATGAGCCAATGTGCCCAACTGCACACTGACATTTAAATTAACGGAGTTAGAAGAATGAGTATGCAGCTCAGTGATACAGTACTTGCCTAGCAAGTATTAAGCCCAGGGTTTAATTCTAAGCACCGCAAAAAAAAAAAAAAAGGATACTTAGAAAGTAACAGGGTTAGATTATTTAATCCAGAATTCCTTAACTGAGTTTGTTGCTCAGAAACCCCTGCAGAGCTTTTAACAAGTACTAAAAAAGGCTGTAAGCCAAAACTGCTCAATCAAAATCTGGTTGTAGGAACTAGGACTCTATTTTTAAAGATTCTCCAGGAGATTCTCCTATACAACTAATTATGAGAACTTCTGTTTTAACTTATTATCTTCACAATTAATAGGTAGTTAGAGAATAATCTAAAATTATGGACCCCAACTTTCTGAGAAGGTTGTATTTTCTTTTTGCCCCCCCCCCACCTTCTTAGAGCTGTACACATTAAACTAACTCTGGGGACATAGCTCAGTGGTAAAGTGCATGTTTAGCATGCAAGGACCATGTTCATTCCCTACCACTGAAAAATGCAGTTAAAATAAGTAAATATATACATACATACAAAAAAACACAAACTTCGTTTTGAAAATTTTCTGATCAACTTCCTATCTTCTATTATTAAATAATCATAAGTAGATTTTAAGAAATCATGACTTTAAAATACTTTCAGTAATGAATGTTAAACAATGCAAGGCAATACAAACTGACTTTTAAAAATAAAAACACAATTTTACCTTGGGTTTATATTTTATCATGAAGAATATATTTGGTAAGAGAGAATCAGGTCCTAATGAGCAGTAAAATGTGACAACTCCAGCAACAAATGACCAGAAGATCATTAAGACATGAAGATACCTTCAAAATAAATAAGAATAATTTTTAGAACCAACAAAAATATAAAACATTAAGTTATCCTTTCATTTATTTTAACAAATATTTATGAAGCACCTGCCAATCAGAAACAATGTTTCTGATCATGATATTCCCCAATGCACTTATTAAATATAAGAATCACAAAATGTACATCAAATATATAGTTTCATTTAAAGTATAATAAATTCTCAATATTTCATCATTTAGTTACCATATTGTCATGTTTAAGTAGCCCATACTACATTCTTCCAGAATACCTTCTAATGATATTCTGTTCACACTCCAACAAAATTCTAATTATTTTGCATTAAATTAAACAAATCACAAATAGCCTGTTTTGTACTACACAGCATTAGGTTCTGAGGATATAGTAAGGAGCATTACTACCATGGTCTCTATTTGCATGGAAAACACTCTCTAATGGCGATAACAGGTAAGTACTGTAAATAAGCACTGGCAATATGATCAAGTATTTGTTAATGACAGAGAAAGTACATGTGATATGGGAGCACCACAGGCCAACTACTTAACCCAAATTTGAAAGGACAGAAAAGGCTTTTTTAGAGACAGCAAAATTTATCACAATTTATTGAAATTATCTTCCAAACTTTGCCAAACGTAGTGTGAGCTGAGTTTCTGTCATCTATCATAAAGAGTCCTGAGTAATACCGAGGAAACAATGAAGAGTTTTTTGAAGACTTTAAGAAGGAAAGTGGTAGTATAACATTAATACCACTCTGGTTACAATATGAAGAATGGTCTAGCCTAGAAACACTCAGGCTAATTTGAAAGCTGTTACAGTAATCTAAGGGAGTCAATGATGACCTGCACTAGGAACAGAGAAAGGTAAAAAGAAGTAGACTCTTTTGAGAGACATCTGGGAAGAAAAATTAAGAAGAGGAAGAGAAATCTACACAGGAATCTAGTAATTAGAAGAGTTACAAAGAAAGTCAAGGTATATGTCATAAAAACTCATTTTTAAACGTTAAAAAAAGGAAAAAAATCTCAAAAGAGATGAAATGATCAATATAATCAAACATCTGTGAATAGACAAATTGAGAAGTGACCAGGAGCACTGCCAGTAAGAGGCTCTGATGAGTTAGTCAAAAGCCACTTTGGCAGAATAGCAAAGGACTAACATGGATTAAAAAGTGAGATGGAGGCTCACACCTGTACTCCTAGCTACTCAGGAAGCAGAGATCAGGATCTTGGTTCAAAGGCAGCTCAGGCAAATAGTTCAGAAGACCCTATCTCAAAAATACCCAGCACATGTATACATAGAAATGTCACAAGTAAACCAACATACAGCTATCTTAAACCAAAAAAATGTCATTTTTTTTTATAAAAACAGAAAACAGGAGTGTAGAACAGGTCCTGTCTGGGGGGTTGGTACCAGTGGGAGAGAGGAGGATGTGGGGAGAGGGTTAGGAGGGTGAATATAGTGCAAATATTGTGTATACATGCATGTAAATGTAAAAATAAGACCTGCTGAAACTATCCGAGGAATGAGGGGGAGGAGGACATACAGGAGAATGATGGAGGGAGTGAATTCAACTATGATATATTATAAGAACTTTTGTAAATGTCACAATATATCCCAGCACAACAGTAATTTTAAAAATGGTTAAAATAGAATAAAACAAACATTATTACTCAAAAAAAAAAATCAACACAAAAAAGGGATGGCAGAGTGGCTCAAGTGGTAGAGTACCTAATAAGTGTGAGGCCCTGGAGTTCAAACCCCATTCTGCCAAAAAAATAAAAAATAAAAATAAAAAAGTGAGATGGAGGGTTCACAGCATGGCTCAAGGTAGTGCACCTGCTAAGCAAGCACAAAGCCCTGAGTTCAGGTCTAGTAAACAACAACAACAACAAAAAGTGAGATGGGAGGTAAGGAAGTAAAATCACTAACACTGGATAATTCCCTTTCTAAAGGAAAGAAAAGCTAACGTGGCAGCTGGAAGAAACAGCAAGAGAAAACTTCTGGTAAAACCTAATCACATTTAAATCTTGAGAGGAGAAAAGGAGAAAAGAAGGAAATACAGCCAGTTGCCAGTAGCTCATGTCTGTAATCCTAGCTACTCAGGAGGCAGAGATCAGAAGGATCACAGTTCAAAGCCAGCATGAGGCAAATAGTTCATGAGACCCTATCTTGAAAAAAACTCAACACACACACACACACATACACACACACAAAAACCAGGGCTGATGGAGTGGCTCAAATGATAGAGTGCCTATCTAGCAAAGCCTAGCAAGCAGGAAGCTCTGAGTTCAAGCCCCAGTACCACCAAAAAGAAAAAGAAGGAAGTATATGGGAGAGAAGATATAACTGAATGATGTCCTAGAGAAGACAGGAAATGCTGACATTCAGAACCTAAATGGTGATAAAGAGAGAGGAGTCTCTTCCCAGTATGCAGAGAGAATAGATGGTAAGAATGAGGTTAAAGCTACTGATGTGGTACCAAGACTCACATGAAAGTTGCTGAATGTAAAGGGCAAAGGTGGCATGATCACAGGTTATAAAAACTGGGAAGTTCTGAAACAGATGCTGGGGAGGCGGGGATGTTATCCTCTGTAACTGTTCCACAGTACTGAGGCTGAAAAATGAATCTACAGTTATGGGATTTTCTCCAGCAGCAGCATTCGATTATCAGGAAACGAACACTGAAAAAAGCAAAAAGTATCACTGATTCAAGATTTGGATTTTGTCAGGTGAATGGAATGGAAGACAGGGAGTTAAACATATTAGCAACACATTAGGTAAAGTAGACGACCATGAAATCTAAGTCTGAAAGACTAAACTTTGAAGAAGAGTAAGTGGCAACAGAAGAGGGCAAAGGGATAGAAGAAAGCAAAGGAGTCAGGAGACTGAGATGTCAAGAAGCAGGTACAGTATGACTGACTGAATTAGAGAAGGAGACATCAGTCAGCAAGTGGGATATTTTATTTTATGTGACAGGAGTGTAGCTCAGGTTGGCCTCGAACTCATTATGTAACCCAGGCTGGCCCTCAACTCACAATACTCTTCCCCCAGCCTCCCAAGGGCTAGGATTACAAGGAGATATTGATGCTTAAGGTTTAGAAGTATGGGCTGGTGGGGTGCGGGTGGCTGACATAGTTGAGTACCTGACTAGCAAGTACGAAGCCCTGATTTCAAACCCGTACTGCCAAAAAAAATTTTTAGAGGTACAGTACTTTCAAGTAAACAGTATCTACTGTATGGTGATACAAGTGGGAGACTGAGCAGGTGTCACTTTGAAATGGGTTAGATTATCTGACAGTTTGCTCCCACAAACACTGATGTCACCTAGAATAACAGCAGAATTTAAAATAGAAAGCATGTCATAAGCCAGGAGGAAACAGTCTTCAATAAATGAGTACAAATGACCAAGATTGCTATCAATGATAAAATAGACAAATGACATAACTCAAAGAAGCAAGAAACATCTGCTTCCTTGATTAGAATAACTAGTACCAGAATTGCCTTCTCACCAGTTACAAACAACTTCAAAACTGGACAAAATACATGCAGCAATTGTGTCCAGGAACTAAACCACCAGCAGTGCAGGGCTACTTTCTGTGAGAAAAGGGAAGCACACAGGTGAGCTCCTCACTCATCCCAGATTCTGCCCATCCCGGGTACATTCCAGGTTGCAGAAGAAATTGTGAAGACCTGGGAGCTCACAATTGGCTGATGCAGCACCAGGTATCCCCGTGAGAAACAAATGTGGACGTGTTTACATCTTATAGACAATGACCAAATGAGCACAAAATCTGTAAGACAAAGGCCAAGTCACCCAAGCCAATGAAACTGCCCAGTCACCAGGATCTCAGGGCAATTCTACACTTGAGAAACACCCACTTTATGTCTATTTTTTAAAATGCTCTCACTCAGCACTTACAAACAGAACAGTACTGCCTACTCAAAAAACTGCTATGACTTCAGATTGCCTGCAGAATGTCCCTTAAGCCTTTATGGCCCCTTTCACCTTTTCACCTGGTTTCTTCTTCATCTTTTATTTAAACCTTCACTCTAACCACAGAAGCACACCTCACATCCAAATTTTAAAAAATAAATAAATAAACCATTTGTCTGTAAACTAACTCAGTTAGAGATATTCATATGGGAAATTATGAAATTCATGTTCACAGTCATTCCACCAAACTCATTTGAGCCATACATAATTCAGAATTCAGAATTTTTAGGATTCTACAGCAACTATACAATATATATTTTATATGTACACATAAATAAAAAATATAAAATATAAATTTTATTTTATGGGAGCTTAACATTCCCAATGAAATCTCATACAATACACAACTCAGATATTTCCCAACACATGAAAAGGAAGGAAACAGTAAAGGCCAAACAAAAACAGACATAAAGACCAGTGGAATGGAAGACCCAGATATGAAGTGCACAACTACGCCCACTTGATTTTTGAGAAAGGTGCCCAAAACATCAACAACGTTGCTAGAAAAACTGGATACCTGCAGGCAAAAAACTGAAACTAGATCCATGTCTTTCACCCTGTACCAGTATCAACCTTAATATAAAACCTAAAACTTTTTTGGGGGAACGGTACTGGGGTTTGAACTCAGGAACAAGCAACACCTGAAACTCTGAAGCTAGCTCAAGAAACAGCAGAGCATACTAATAGGCATAGGCAATGACTTCCTAAGTAGTATTCAAATGGCTCAGCAATAAGAGAAAGAATTGATAAATGGAACTGCATGAAACTAAAAGTTTCTGTACGCAAAAGAAAAGGTCACCAGATTGAAGAGGCAACCCACAAGAATGGGAGAAAACTTTTGCCAGCTATACATCTGACAAGGGATTAATAACCAGATTACACAGGGAGCTCAAAAACAAACTCCCCAAAAATCAATGACCACGTGAAGCAGTTGGCAAAATGAACTGAACAGAGATTTTTCAAAGGAAGTCCAAATTGCCAAAAATACATGAAGAAAGGCT